ATTAGTACGACAATACTCCACTATAGAGGGATGTACTTAACTGGAAGAATAAGATTAATATGCGATTAGTACCTGATGTCAATCCTTTGATTTATTTTGCAGAGATCACCTGAATCAAGACGGGCCTTTTAAAGTTACACCCAAACTTGAGAAGAGGAAACAAGGCAAGTGCCTCTTGAACTTCAATTACCTAAGATTGGAGAAAATGCATTCCAACATTTCAGTGCTTTGACCATGTCTAGACAGTCAAAATTGTGTTCTAAAAAATACTATTAAATCTGGCAACACCTTGAAAATCCAAGTGTCAAGGCCAGGTGCCAGCTATAATTATGATAGAAATGACTGCAGTGCAAAGTACCAAACCCAAAGCGGTTCCCAGAATGCAACGCGGTGTGAGTCCTTATATATTTCGTAGGCCTGTTAATTTGTTCTATACATGCTCTTTCAGAGATGCCAATGGCTACGATCAGCCCTGCCGCAGTCTATGAAAGCATTAGAGATGAGGGTGGTGAAGCGTCTTGGACATCAACAGCCGAAGTGTACAGCAATGTTGGGCCTGACCTCGCATTCCCGCGAGATCTCGTGGTCATTGAGAAAGAGCTGGGACGGGGCGCGTTTGGGAGAGTTCTGCTGGGCACGGCTCTTGGGATCGAGAAAACTGGGAAAAGGACAAAGGTGGCCGTGAAAACTCTCAAAGGTATATTTGTCAATTTCTAACAGAAGGGAAAAATAGTTGTGAACATTTCGGTGAAAGTTATGTTTTGTGTGTCCACTCAGTTACTTTTTTTAAGGAGTTTCATTAACTTTCATTTCGTACGACGATAGAGGGCGGTGGCGATCACGCTAAGGCGGAGCTTCTTGAAGAGTTGGAGCTAATGAAGAAAGTTGGCTGTCACCCGAATGTTGTTAAACTTCTCGGACATTGCAAAGAGAAAGGTAATTTGAATTAGTCATATTTATACTGCGGGGAAAAGTCTTTAACGCTCAAGCATTATGGCCAATAAATTTAATGTAACAATAAATTCATGTGGTGTTCCGGGTCTCGGTGACCATAATTTGTTCATTTGTTTCTTAGGTCCCGTGTATGTGATCGTTGAATACCTTGCTAAGGGTGACCTGAAGAAACTTCTGATGGAGTATCGAGACAAGGATCCAGGGTCAGGTTACTCCAACCTACCTGGCTTGAGCAAATCACTGTCTCGGACACTGGTCAAGTTTGCCAGGGATGTGGCTAACGGAATGGCATTCATATCATCACAAAAGGTGAAATAAAGAATTTCATTAAAATACCAATTATCGATCCACATGCAATAATTTTGTTTGGCAACGCACAGTGCACCTTCGCGGCTGCACTGAGTTAAGTTTAGTTTCGGTTCCTTTCTTTATAGGAAAAGAAGTTTAAAAATAGGCTGTGCTGATTAGCTTATCCTCGACCATGTGGCTCTTCATTAAACCATGGTGGATAAAAAAGTTTTCCCTAAATGACTGTTCACAAGTCGGTTCTGGATGGCTTCAAATTAGGTCATGGACAGCACGTATGGCGCCATCAACCCTACAACAACAACAACACGTACCTGTACCGCATCGCTCAGGTACGATGTGGTTTTTTGGTACAGTATGTTGATTTCCATTAAAAGCAAGACCAGCCAAGCCGAGTAAGCTGGTCCCCACCGACAAGACCATGTCACAGTTGACAGTCATTGAGAGAGCTAAACAGAATCCACAATTAACAGTCAGTCAGTCATTCAGACAGTTACCAAGATGCTGGCAAGGGGCTGGCCTTCTTGGACAAGCAAAAATCTGAATTTCAGCATTTGCTTTTAGGTGTTTTTGTCTGAGGTAGTGGTTGCCTCACTTGTTGGTGTGTGAAGCGGTTGGTTTCTTCTAAGTTGCGTGATTTTTTGTTGATCTCAGTGTGTGCATCGTGACCTTGCCGCTCGTAACGTGTTGGTGGGAGATGACATGGTGTGTAAAGTGTCTGACTTTGGACTGGCCCGTGACGTCATGAACACCCGTATCTACCAACGAGAATCACAGGTACCAGACATGTTTTTTTGAGGGGGGCGTGTATATTGGAGAGAATTTAAAAAGTTGTCTAGTGCACTGTGAGATGTTGAATATTATTATGCTACACTAAAAGTTGAGTGAAAGAAACTTTTTGATATCTGCTTATAGGGTGCTCTTCCCATGCGCTGGATGGCGTTGGAATCTCTTCTAGATGACGTGTACACAACAGAGAGTGACGTATGGTCTTTTGGGATTCTGCTGTGGGAGATTGTGACGCTTGGTAAGTGTATCAACTCTGGGGTGTGTGGAACGACACTGGGACCACAGCATCCTTAAAGATTGATGACCATGTGGGCTTTATTTGTACGTTGGTGAGTGCCCACTGAGAAATTAATAAAATCAATGTACCCCTTTTTTCGACAGGTGCACGACCGTATCCAATGATGAAGACAAAGGCAATGGTCAACCAACTGCAGCAGGGCTATCGTATGCCGAAGCCCAAAAACTGCAAGAAACAACTGTAAGTACTTTCCGCTTAATATACAAAAGGATCGAAATTATTTCCCCTTTGAAGATAGAAGATATGAAAAAGAGTTGAAAAAATGGGTGTCTTTTTTTTTCTTAATTGGTTACATGATTGGCATGTTTCAGGTATGACATAATGTGCAGCTGTTGGCAGAAGACTCCTCAGGAGCGACCAGCCTTCCAGAGTCTGTGTCAGCAATTGGATGACATGCTATCTGGAGATAAGGTTGGTGAATCTGCAGAGTATTTACCAGCAGAAAGTCTGGATGTTTCGATCATTATTACCACTGCACTCAGCTCGAGATAAAATTGATGAAAAGGAGGGACCGCTAATTTAATGTCACTAGCAAAAGAATGCAGTACTGTCCCAAGCTTGCGGCTAATCAGGCCGGCGTTTATCTTTGGTACTGCGTCCCTTGCATAAAGTCATAACCGAGAATACATGTTATAAATATTTCCCCTGAATGGGATACATGTGAAACTTATAGGTTACACTCATCAGCTGATGGCGGAAGTGTACTGATTTATACTCGTGGGAAGAGGCAAGTTGGGTGAAGTGACGTGCCCAAGGACACAACATATTAGACCGGCAGCAGAAACCAAACACTAACATTTAAGGCTATTTTTTCTTTCAATTCTTCACAGGACTTTATCACCATTCACAAGCTGGATGAAAGCATCTACGAAATGATAGTGATCGAAGACACGAACGAAAAACTGTGAGAGTTAATTGGCACCAAAATCATGGAATTGTTTGATCAGTTTCAAGAAAACATGAAATTTTATGCAGAAGAGACAACACAACTGGATATCCGATTGGTTGAAAACGTTATATCGTAAGATATAATTAGAGATGTAATATATATATATCTTTTCCTATCATTGCTGTATATATGCATGCATGGTGTTGATTTGATACAATATAAAATAATCATCGTTCAAATGGTTTGTGTCACTTTACAGCAAAGTAAGTGTACGACAAAGTAAGTGAAGCTTTATGCAGTAGCATTTCCTTTTTAGTTGATGTTAACATGACGGATGTACAAAAATATATAGCATAATTATAAGTTTAATATGGTAGATTTTTGGCACTGTGTTTTTTTTATATCGTCAGAATATACTGTTTTTGTAAGATACCTTATGAGCCAATACAAGTCTCATAGGTGACCCGATCCTACGAAATCAGTCTTAAAAACTTAGTTTTGTAAATTTAGGTGTTCAAAACTAACAAAATTAGTCTACTCAGCTCTATACATATATCACTCATATGTAAACATAGCATGTGGCTAAAAATGTTAACTTCCTGCCAACTTACATTGTGCATGATCTGTAAAAAGTGTTGCCTGTGCTGGAAAAAATGTTTCAGATGAAAAAGCAAGATAAGAGTAGGCCAATATTGGCAATTTTCCACCCAACTTTACAACATCATGTAGTAACTTGAAGCCCTGTGTGATATTGTGATTTTCCGGTACCAGTACTATGCATTTCTTTTTATATTTTGAATGCAAACGAATCCTGTCATTAAAATATTTCCATTTTTGACGTATGACATTATGAGCAGTGGCGGGAGAGGGGCAAATAATAAATGTTTTGGGGGCATTCAAAATGATAAATGCTATGTGCCAACTTGCACAGAACCAACATTTCACTCTCTACTTTGAACTTTAGTTCCGATTCTAAACGGCGAAGGATATAAACCGAATAAATATGTTGATCCCCTCCCCCATAACGCCGCCACTGCACATGAGGGCCGTATCTGTATATTATACATGGATATATTGGAATATGGTTTTGTTTTTAATTTCAAACTGGTTCCCTGTAGTTGTGTTTTTGTGATGAGGGAGAGGGCATGCAGTGGCCATCTTTCAAATCACACTTCTAAAGCAAGGCCTGAAGTAGTTGAAATCCCCCCGCAAAAAAAAGATAAAAAGGAGCTGCCAATAATTATTATAAGAGACCCATTTACATGTAATGATAATAATTTATTGTTTTTGTGTGGCTGTACTGTATGGACTATAGCACTGGTGTTTCTAAAGTCTGATTCTTAAATTAAAAAATCCTAGAAAATAGATTTGTGGATAGATTGAATAATTCTTGATCGTATTTCAAGCACCAAACTGCACATTTTCTTTAAACTTTAGTTTAACTATAGTTTTAATACTCCCAGCCCTCGCCCCTGGAGGAGGGAGAAACCCTGTCAATTGAAAGGGATCGAGATTGTGCAGTATTTAATATTTGTAATAGGGAGTAGTTGGGTATTTTTAAATATTTGTAATTGTAGTTTTTTTTTAATTTAACAATGTAAACTGATTATTTCAAAAGGTTTCCATTTGCCGATAAGGTTCACTGTTTTATAAATATACCGAATAGCTTACATAAAACAAATTCAACAAATGACGTAATATTTTTAAGTAACCGACAATTAACAATTCTGCCAGATTGAAGGAAAATATAGACATGATATTACGATGGAGGCACATTCTGTCCTACCGACCGAGTTGACCTTAATTACACCGGTCCAGATCACTGTACAAACAACCTCGGGACGTGAGGATCGGATCCTGTGCAGTAAATCTCCATCAAGTACTTTTCTCATATTCACAGCCAGAGTATGCGTCATTTCTTTCTGTGTTATATTTTCATGTTATTTCCTGGTGTAGATCATGGGATTGCGTATAGACTTGCCCGACACGCATAAAAAACTATGAATACAATAAAGGGCTGACTTGTTATTTGAAAAGAGTTCAAAGTTTATTATAAGTGACAGACAGATTGGTTCCGCATTTACAATTCTTGTTATTGGTCGATATAGTTAGTTCTTTATGATGACTTGTACTGCAGTATAAATATATACGTTGAACATTTTGTACACTTGTGTATCCACAAGTAGTATATGCGTATCATAGCTATAATAGCCTACATGTCCGTGAACTCCACGCATGCAGGTCACAGTGTGATTTGTCGTTTTTGAATTGGGAATGGATTTTAGTGCTGGGCCGTTGTTGTGCTTGTGGCTTCTTGCGTTTTCAGGTAAGTCTGCATGTTAACCTGGTATTCAATGAACGCTTCATAGTTACTGGTACTGTTATTTCCTATGAAGTGAACTAGTGGAAAACTAGAGTATGTAGGAACAAACACGGTGTTGGGCTTTTCATGTTTGTGTTTTTGATGTTGATTTTTGTTTTTTGATTATTGATGTTGATGTTAATGTTGATGTTATTGTTGGTTGTTGCTTGTTAAATGTTGATTTTTGATGTTGATGGGCGCTTTTGCGAGCCCAACTTTTGAGTTTCATATAACGTCATCAAAACTCAAAAAATGTGCTTGCGTTAAGTTGTCATATAAACGTATGTAAAACACTGGTAAACACTTAAGAATACATTGATCCATGAAACAACCAATGCATGTTGCTCAATAGTAAACATAAAACAGTCGAAAGTCAGGCACTTACGAGGCGAGCACGCTGGAAGGGGTTCCCCGTTGTACGCAATCATTAGTACAAACGCAATATATGTACATGTACAACACACAGTACAATGTACGTTGCATTCAATGAACGTTTTCAGGCGTAGCCGTTGTCAACTTCAAATTTCAAGGGGGCTGCAGGACATCTCCAAGTTTACTTATTGAAAAGAAACCTGGAAAAGTTAAAGACCTATTATTAAAGTGCCATTTAAAGCACAGAACTTGATCCTATCTCTGACGGTTGATTTTTTTAGCACTTTTCAAAGGAAAAGAGTTTTTTTCATTGTAACTTCCGGTCTGATGACATAATCATTTTTTTTCGCGCCCAGGCCTTGTCTGCATTAAGGTCACCATGTATATGCATTTGAAGCGATTAACGCACATTTCGCCACAGACATCAGCTGAAAATGTGTTTTGGACATTTTTTAACCTGCCGCTAGAGGGCGCTCGAAAACTTCATGGCGTCATTGATCATATTTTGAAAGGTCAACCCACTTACAAGCTAACACCGTTGAAAGCGAGTTCATATCTTTTTCCACTTTTACATTATTAGGCATTTTCGGTTTCGATCGGAAGGAAGGGTCACGTGTTTTGACACGCACAAGATAAAATGAAGATCATATTATTATCATGTCGATTCCCGGAAAATTCAAATTCCGGTCTCTCATGGTTAATTTTATATTGAATTTCAAAGATTAAATTTATTATTTTTTGAAGTGACGTCACGTGACCCATGATGACGTCCTGATGACGCAATTGCAAAAAGCACATCTTCAGTGGGTTGTGCATTCATGTATTGACAATTGAAGTTCATATATGTTTTCATTTTGACAAACAGTTCTGGAGAAGAATTTGCTGAGGAGAACAAAAATAGTAAATTCTTACAATAACAATAGGTGTTGGGCTCAAGGCCCAACACCTAATAAATGAACTGAACTAGGTTGCACTTGCATCAAAAGGTGTGTCTAGCATGCATCCTAAATATGAAATGCCAAATAAAAATATTCCCCAAAATAGTACAGACAGCCTGAATTTCTTGAAATTTGTTGCCAACATTCGCGGAGGGGGAAATGACAATTCTTGTAAGGGTGCCTGCATTCTCATCTTTCTGGAGTCCGGATATTCAGTGTACTGGGGAGGGAGGGGTGGAGTACCATGATCTTGATTGGATTGATTGGATTGGATCTTGGATTGATTGTGTTCCAGATCAAAAAGGCAAGCTTTATAATGTTTTAAAAACATAATTACCAAATTGCATGTTAACTAGTGTTTTTCAATCGGTTTGAACGGTTGCCCTGGATATCTTACAGAACAATTTTGGTACTTTATCGGGACACTTTACAAGAAGTTTTATGGGAGCACATTAATAATCCTTATCCCTCGACCGAATGAAATGAGATACCAAAATAAAAAATATGAGTAGCCCTATGATTTCCTTGTTCTTTAGCTAACTTAAATCTTGTTTTTTTTTCATTTGACATTTACGAAAATAATAAACTATGAGCTCATAAAATATAAGAAATCTCTCGAACTCGTTGCAGCTGAAAAACCTAACAAAACCAATATTTAGATGCATCTGTGCGTGGGTGATGCCTTCTTCATTGATGTTCAGAATTTCATTTACATCATAGATTGTTATGCTGATTCGATTTGTTTTCTCCAATAAAAAACCAGCAACCTCTGTAGATGCTGTTGGACCAAGTGACACGGCAGCCTTGCTTGGTGGTGCAGCCACTCTGACTTGCAGTAACCCTGCGTACACTTCACCAGGTTCTGGTGCTGCTCTGTGGAGTGAGGGTGGAGTACCCTTTGGTACCCAGCAAAATGGGATTTACACTGCACCTGAATTTGCTAAATACACGAATTTTGGCATAGTATCCAATGAGTATCCCCAGATGGACCTCACAGTTAGCAATGCTCAGGTTGAAGATGAAGGAACCTACACATGCACCTTGCCGTCAGATCAAGGATCAGCAACTTTGACTGTTGAAAGTGAGTGTCAGACGTGTACATGAGTTACAAAATGTACATGTATTTATTTTAATTGTTTTAATGTCATTAATGCGTGTGTGTGTGTTCACAGAGAGATTCAATACTGTGTCTGTTGCCCTTTGAGCAGTGGCGTCGCCAAGGGGGGGGGGGCAGGGGGGGGGGGGGGGCACGTGCCCCCCCTGGAAAACCTAGTGCCCCCCCGAGTGCCCCCCCATCTGAGATTTGGGTTGGTAAAAAAATATATATATATTTTGTTATATTCAACTCCCATCATCTGAGTTGGTTTTTCATAAGGACAAAGAAGCACAGTAATTCGTATTTTCTTCAAATGAGCATCAAATGTGGCACCATTTTGCATCTAGCCCATCCTCCGTATGCGAAAATTTTCCAAAAAATCCCCTTAGACCCCTCCCCCAGGACGGCGATCCGTATCCACCTAAGTCCCCCCCCCATCAAATGCTGGTGCCCCCCTGTGCCCCCCCCCCCAGACTGAAAAGTCTGGTGACGCCACTGCCTTTGAGGGCTTCATACACAGTGATGTGAACATAATGTATTTTTTGGGGCATGGTTTGCCCTCTGGCTATTAGTGTCAGTTTCACATGTTTAATTTGTACGGCAGCAAAGAATACCTTTCAAATGAAGTCCATTGAGATTGTCAAATGTACTATACTGTATCCATCCCCCGTAAACAAACTGTTCAAGGGTTTCTTGCTATTTGAACTCTTTATGACTTGTTTTATATCCAGTTGAAGGCAATGAACCTACCACCACACTGAACAGTGATCCATCAGTGACTCCTATCAGACTGATAGCAGGAGAGCAAAGTGTGTTAAGATGCACAGCGAGCGGCTTCAGACCTGCAGTCAATCTAGAATGGTACAAAGATGACATCAAAATCACAGCGGGTGTTTCTGAGGATCCAGCCACTAATAATGGGGATACCTTCACTACGGTGGGCACTTTGACATTCACTCCAACAATTCCAGACGATGGAGATCGTCTAGAATGCCGCACAATAGGACAGGAGGTCGCCACGGCAAAAACAGGAGGGCTCACTCTAAATGTACAATGTAAGTATAAATGAAGTGGACAAGTAGACCTAAGGGAGGTCAACAATGTCACCACTAGAATTAAATACATTTAAATCAGAAAGGCATAGAACCAACAATTATCCATATGAGTACCAGTATGAACATTATTGTGTTTACACAATTGTAAACACCAACAAATACATTGGTTCATCAAACAATACTTGACGAAGGTGTTTACCTAAAGGCAACTTCAGATGCTCTTAATTGGTTCTGTTTTCCTGTGTTTTCCGCCAACAAAATTGACTGTGATGATTTTGACAATCTTTATTTTTAGCTCATTTAGTTGCCACATATTCTTGTATTGTTTCCAAATGTACAACATATCATATTAACCAAACCGCGTGACAACAATATCCATCCATTTCCCCTCCAGATGCACCTGTTGTCAAAGTTGACTACAGTGGTGGTCAGATAACATGTTCATCAGATGCCAACCCACTGGCCACAACCCATCAGATCATTCGGAACGGCACTGACGTTCTGAAGACATTCCCCAACAGTCCAGGATCTGTAGAATTCACACCGAACTATTGCGCTGTAATCAGTTGTAACGCTACAAACACAATCGGAACAGGAACAGACACGTTTGCTCAGCAGATATGCCCAGGTAGGTCTACGTAGTTCATCATATATGTTCCACACAATGCGGCCCCGTCTATCTGGATCTAGCATGCTAACAAATTAATGGCTTATCGTGCTTTCAATTTGAACAAACCTTATGAAGCATTGATGAACAAATCCTTGAAGGTTGCATTTATAATTATGATTGTAAAGAAGCTGCCACCTTTTCACTGTATGGCAGAGGTTCTTAGAAGAAATGATAGATTCGACGTGTCGATCCTTGCTGTGTTTGCGACTTTCCAAAAAATAAATAAAAAAATGAATAAACGACTTAAAGGTTGACATGCATTATTATCATCATTTTAATGGGATCAAGATGGGTTTGTAGATAGAATAACAGTCATTATGGTACACTTGCTTTTCATGTTAAACTGTTTTCCTTTATTTTGACTGTAAATTTTATTGATATTTTCCCCCAGAATTGAGTACAGAATTACCGAGAACAACGGAAGTTCCGTCAAAGGCAATGCATCCAACTATAAAATCTACAGGTAGATCCAATTGGCTTTGAAACTAATTCGTTTAAAAGCCAAACTTATACACCCTTTTAGAAATGAACATCAGCGGGGAAGGGTCTGAACTTTGGGTATCAAAAAAGTTTATACAAAGTAATAAGGTTTCGCTGTCATTCTTCTCAGTTAGGCTGATTGAGGAGTCAGGTTGGCGCAGCTGTATTCTTTTCCACCTACCATTTCCGAGACCCATGTTCAAATCCTGACGAGGTCAATTTGATAATTGGTTCCTTTTAGTACCTGATTTTGGGAATTTCCTCAATATTCCTGGGTTTTCTCACATCTGAAGCTAACTGTATGTTTATGTTGTGTCAGAGCAGTTTCCTTGATAAGAATTGTGGGAAATCCTTAGTCAGTTACTTTATACGGACTACAAACGTAATGAAGATGGTCATAATTATATCTTTAATTAGGTTCGTCTGATTGTGAATGATGCAATTCAATTCAGTCATAATAAGCCCACATTATCTGAAAGGTTGAAATCATAAAATTGTGTCGATAAGTGTACATGATATTGTTGTTTTTGTTGAGTTGAACTTCAAAAACTCGTTTTGCATTGTAAATAATAATAAAAAAGATGTATCGTTCATTGTAGCTCCACCTTCACCTACTTCAGTTGGCGTGATAGTCGGAGCAGTGGTGGCGGCTTTTATCGGTGGAGTTCTCGTTAGTGGTATCATGTTTTACATCATGAAGAGGCGACATCAAGTACAACATGAAAGAGATGGACTTCATCAAACAATCAAACACGATGGGTAAGTGTGGTTTGAGACGCATTGCAAAAGTACTTGTGCAAATGTTAAACGCGTGTGTGATAATGTGGTATGTCGCGAACGAGCAACATGAGATATATGACGTCAGCTGGGACTGCTCATCCCCCATCTTAAATTATTTGATAGCAAGGAGGGACTTTGATCCAGCAACCTTTCCGTGGTCGGCAGAAAACCTTTGCCTCCTGTGTATTTTCTTAGTTTTTTCTGAAGACAATCCTTTGATTCATAATGCAGGGATCACCTGAATCAAGATGGGCCTCATAAGAGAACACCCAAACGTGAGCAGAATCAAGGCAAGTTCCTCTTGACCTTCAATTACCTCAGATGAGACAGCATGTAAAACATTTCATAGTTTTGACCACATCTACTCAGTCCATCCTTGTTAAAATGTTGTCCTTGTTTAAAAGTACCTGGAAAATCCAAGTGCTGAGGTTAGTTGCCAGCTATATGATTGAAATTTTATAGTCCAGTGCTCCAAACCCCAACCGATTCACAGGATGCAACGCGGTGTGGTCCCTTTAACTCAATTAGGCCTATTATTATTTTTTGGTGATACAATTCCAGAACTTCCAATGACTACGCCCAGCCCTGTCGCAGTCTATGAAAGCATTAGAGATGAGGGTGGTGAAGCGTCCCGGACATCAACAGCCGAAGTGTACAGCAATGTTGGGCCTGACCTCGCATTCCCGCGAGATCTCGTGGTCATTGAGAAAGAGCTGGGACGGGGCGCGTTTGGGAGAGTTCTGCTGGGCACGGCTCTTGGAATCGAGAAAACTGGGAAAAGGACAAAAGTGGCCGTGAAAACTCTCAAAGGTATATTTGTCAATTTGTAAATGAAAGGGAAAATAATTGTGAACATTTCGGTGAAAGTTATGTTTTGTGTGTCCACTCAGTTACTTTGTTTTCAAGGAGTTTCATTAACTTTCATTCCGTACGACGATAGAGGGCGGTGGCGATCACGCTAAGGTGGAGCTTCTTGAAGAGTTGGAGCTAATGAAGAAAGTTGGCTGTCACCCGAATGTTGTTAAACTTCTTGGACATTGCAAAGAGAAAGGTAATTTGAATTAGTCATATTTATACTGCGGGGAGAAGTCTTTAACTCGCAAGCATTATGGCCTGTAATGTAACAATATATTTATGTGGTGTTCCGGGTCTCGGTGACCATAATTTGTTCATTTGTTTTTTAGATCCCGTGTATTTGATCGTTGAATACCTTGCTATGGGTGATCTGAAGAAGCATCTGATGGAGTATCGAGACAAAGATCCAGGGACAGTCTACTCCAACCTACCCGGCCTGAGCAAATTACTGTCTCGGACATTGGTCAAGTTTGCCAGGGATGTGGCAAATGGAATGGCATTCATATCATCTCAAAAGGTGAAATAAAGAATTTCATTAAAATACCGATTATCGATCCACATGCAATAATATTGTTTGGCAACGCACAGTGCACCTTCGCGGCTGCGTTTAGTTTCGGTTCCTTTCTTTATAGGAAAAGGAGTTTAAAAATAAACTGTGCTGATCAGCTTATCTTTGACCATGTGGTTCTTCATTACACCATGGAGGATAAAAAATATATGTGTTTTCCCTCAATGACTGTTCACAAGTCGGTTCAGGATGGCTTCAAGTGAGGTCGTGTACAACACGTATGGCGCAAATGGCACAGTGTGCTGTACGCGCTATCAACCCTAGAACAACAACACGTACCTGTACCGCATCGCCCAGGTACGGTGTGCTTTTTTGGTACAGTATGTTGATTTCCATTAAAAGCAAGACCAGCCAAGCCTATAGTAAGCTGGTCCCCGCCGACAAGTCCATGTCGCAGTTGACAGTCATTGCGAGAGCTAAACAGAATCCACAAGTGAATCATTCATTCAGAAAGTTACGAAGGGGCTGGCCTTCTTGGCCAAGCAAAATTCTGAATTTCAGCATTTGCTTTTAGGTGTTTTTGTCTGAGGTAGTGGTTGCCTCACTTGTTGGTGTGTGAAGCGGTTGGTTTCCTCTAAGTTGGGTGATTTTTTGTTTATCTCAGTGTGTGCATCGTGACCTTGCCGCTCGTAATGTGTTGGTGGGAGATGACATGGTGTGTAAAGTGTCTGACTTTGGACTGGCCCGTGACGTCATGAACACACGTATCTACCAACGAGAATCACAGGTACCAGACATGTTTTTTTGAGGGGGGACGTGTATATTGGAGAGAATTTAAAAAGTAGTCTAGTGCACTGTGAGATGTTGAATATTATTATGCTACACTAAAAGTAGAGTGAAAGAAACTTTTTGATATCTGCTTATAGGGTGCTCTTCCCATGCGCTGGATGGCATTGGAATCTCTTCTAGATGACGTGTACACAACAGAGAGTGACGTATGGTCTTTTGGGATTCTGCTGTGGGAGATTGTGACGCTTGGTGAGTTTATACATCAACTTTCGTGTGTGGAACTACACTGGGACCGTAGCATCCTTAAAGATTGATGACCATGTGGGCTTTATTTGTACGTTGGTGAGTGCCCACTGAGAAATTAATAAAATCAATGTACCCCTTTTTTCGACAGGTGCACGACCGTATCCAATGATGAAGACAAAGGCAATGGTCAACCAACTGCAGCAGGGCTATCGTATGCCGAAGCCCAAAAACTGCAAGAAACAGTTGTAAGTACTTTCCGCTTAATATACAAAAGGATCGAAATAATTTCCCCTTTTTTTTCCTTAATCGGTTACATGATTGGCGTGTTTCAGGTATGACATGATGTGCAGCTGTTGGCAGAAGACTCCTCAGGAGCGACCGGCCTTCCAGAGTCTGTATCAGCAATTGGATGACATGCTATCTGGAAATGAGGTTGGTGAATCTGCAGAGTATTTACCAGCAGAAAGTCTGGATGTTTCGATCATTATTACCACCGCACTCAGCTCGAGATAAAATTGATGAAAAGGAGGGACCGCTAATTTAATGTCAGTAGCAAAAGAATGCAGTACTGTCCAAAGCTTGCGGCTAATCAGGCCGGCGTTTATCTTTGGTACTGCGTCCCTTGCATAAAGTCATAACCGAGAATACATGTTATAAATATTTCCCCTGAATGGGATACATGTCCAACTCATAGGTTACACTCCTCAGCTGATGGCGGAAGTGTACTGATTTATACTCGTGGGAAGAGGCAAGTTGGGTGAAATGACGTGCCCAAGGACACAACATATTAGACCGGCAACAGAAACCAAACACTAACATTTAAGGCTATATTTTCTTTCAATTCTTCACAGGACTTTATCACCATTCACAAGCTGGATGAAAGCATCTACGAAATGATAGTGATCGAAGACACGAACGAGAAACTGTGAGAGTTAATTGGCACCAAAATCATGGAATTGTTTGATCAGTTTCAAGAAAACATGAAATTATATGTAGAAGAGACAACACTACTGGATATCCGATTGGTTAAAAACGTTATATCGTAAGATATAATTAGAAATGTAATATATATATATCTTTTCCTATCATCGCTGTATATATGCATGCATGGTGTTGATTTGATACAATATAAAATAATCATCGTTCAAATGGTTTGTGTCACTTTACAGCAAAGTAAGTGTACGACAAAGTAAGTGAAGCTTTATGCAATAGCATTTCCTTTTTAGTTGATGTTAGCATGATGGATGTACACAAATATATAGCATAATTATAAGTTTAATATGGTAGATTTTTGGCACTATGTTTTTTTTATATCGTCAGAATATACTGTTTTCGTAAGATACCTTATGAGCCAATACAAGTCTCATTGGTGACCCGATCCTACGAAATCAGTCTTAAAAACTTAGTTTTGTAAATTTAGGTGTTTAAAACTAATAGAATTAGTCTACTCAGCTCTATACATATATCACTCATATGTAAACATAGCATGTGGATAAAACATGTTAACTTTCTGCCAACTTACATTGTGCATGGTCTGTAAAAAGTGTTGCCTGTGCTGGAAAAAAATGTTTCAGATGAAAAAAGCAAGATAAGAGTAGGCCAATATTGGCAATTTTCCACCCAACTTTACAACATCATGTAGTAACTTGAAGCCCTGTGTGATATTGTGGTTTTCCGGTACCAGTACTATGCATTTCTTTTTTATATTTTGAATGCAAACGAATCATGTCATTAAAATATTTCCATTTTTGACGTATGACATTATGAGCAGTGGCGGGTAAAGGGCAAATGGGGGGCAAATAATAAATGTTTTGGGGGCATTCAAAATGATAAATGCTCTCTCTACTTTGAACTTTAGTTCTGATTCTAAACAGCGAAGGATATAAACCGAATAAATATGTTGATCCCCTCACCCATAACGCCGCCACTGCACATGAAGGCCGTATCTGTATATTATACATGTATCTATTGGAATATGGTTTTGTTTTTAATTTCAAACTGGTTCCGTGTAGTTGTGTTTTTGTGATGAGGGAGAGGGCATGCAGTGGACATCTTCCAAATCACATCTTCTAAAGCAAGGCCTGAAATAGTTGAAATCCCCCCCGCCAAAAAAAATATAAAAACGAGCTGCCAATATTTATTATCAGAGACCCATTTACATGTAATGATAAGAATTTATTGTTTTTGTGTGGCTGTACTGTATGGACTATAGCACTGGTGTTTCTAAAGTCTGATTCTTAAATTAAAAAATCCTTGAAAATAGATTCGTGGATAGATTGAATAATTCTTGATCGTATTTCGAGCATCAAAACGCAAATTCATACTTTAGTTTAATATTGTTTTAATACTCCCAGCCCTCGGTCCTGGAGGAGGGAGAAACCCTGTCAATTGAAAGGGATTGATATTATTGTGCAGTTTTTAATATTTGTAATTTTAGGGTATTTTTAAATATTTGTGATTGCAGTTTATTTTATTTATCATTATTTAACAATGTAAACTGATTATTTCAAAAGGTTTTCATTTGCCGATAAGGTTCACTGTTTTATAAATTTACCGAATAGCCTACATAAAACAAATTCAACAAATGACGTAATATATTTAAGTAACGGACAATTAACATTTCTGCCAGATTGAAGGAAAATATAGATATTACGATGGAGGCACATTCTGCCCTACCGACCGAGTTGACCTAAATTACACCGGTCTCGATCACTTTACAAACAACATCGGGACGTGAGGATAGGTTCCCGGGCTGTGCAATGAATCTATTTCCAGTACTTTTCTCATATTCACAGCCAGATGTAGGCGTCATTTCTTTCTGTGTTAAGTTTTTTTTAACGTTATTTCCTGGTGTAGATCATGGGATTGCGCATATACTTGCCCAACACGCATGACAAACCATGAATACAATAAAGGGCTTACATGTTATTAAAAAGAGTTCAAAGTTTATTACAAGTGGCAAACGGATATGTGCGCATTTCATTCATAGTTCCTCTTATTGGCCGATATAGTTAGTTGACTTGTACTGCAGTATACATGTTTAAGTGCAAGTACATGACTACATGTTTGTACACATATGCATCCACAAGTACATGTATATACGCGTTCATATGTCTGTCAAACCCCACGCATGCAGGCCACAGTGTGATTTGTCGCTTTTGAATGGGAATAATGGGTATCATGGATTTCAGTGCAGGACCGTTGTGCTGCCTGTGGCTTCTTGCGTTTTCCGGTAAGTCTACATGTTAGGTCCAGCATGCATCCGAAGTATGACTGCCAAATGAACATTTTCTCCAAAACAGTAGAGACAGCCTGGCCAATTTGCATTTCTTAAACTGATTTCTATTTGGAAATTTGTTGCTAACATTCGCGTAGGGGTGAAATGACAATTCTTGTAAGTAGGAGTTTCGGCAGTGTGACGTTTTATTGGGTGCCCGCATTCCCATCTTTGTGGAGTTTGGACTGGGGAGGGAGGGGTGGGGTACCATTATGCTGGATTGATTGTGTTCCAGATCAAAATGGCAGACTTTATCATTTTTAAAAAGTAATTACCAAATTGTATGTTAACTACGGTGTTTAAATCGGTTTGAATGGTTGCCCTGAATATCTTACAGAACAGTTTTGCTATACAAGAAGTTTCATCGGAGCATGTTAATTATCCTTATCCCTCGACCGAATAAAATGGGACAAAAAAATCGAAAAAGAATAGCCCTATGATTTCATTGTTCTTTATAGCTTACTAAGTGTTTCCAGTTTGATATTTACGACCATAAAAAACTATGAGCGCATCAAATTTACGATATCTTTCGAACTTGTTGCAGCTGAAAAACTTAACAAAACAATCACCCAGCAAAACCAAAATTGACATTCATTGACAAGCATTTCATTAACATCATAGATTTTTATGCTGATGGGATTTGTTTTCTCAAATCAAAAACCAGCAACCTCTGTAGATGCTGTTGGACCAAGTGACACGGCTGTCTTACGCGGTGGTTCAGCCACTCTGACGTGTAGCAACCCTGCGCACACTTCAACAGATTCTGGTCTTGCTTTTTGGGCAGAGAGTGGAACACCATTCGGTACTCATGGAGGAATTTACACAGGAACAGCCTTTGCTAAATACACTAATTTTGGCATAGTGTCGAATGAGTTTCCCCAGATGGACCTTACAGTCAGCAATACTCAGGTTGAAGATGAAGGAACATACATATGCAGCATGACAGTAGAACAAGGATCAGCAACATTGACTGTTGAAAGTGAGTGTCGGACGTGTACATAAGTTACAAAATGTACATGTATTTATTTTAATTGTTTTAATGTCATTAATGTGTGGGTTCACAGAGAGATTCAATACTAGTCTGTTGTCCTTTGAGGGCATCCTACACTGAATGATGTGAACATGTATCGTTCTTGCAGGGTTTGCCCTCTGGCTATTAGTGTCAGTTAACATGTTTTATTTGTACGGCAGCAAAGAATACCTTTCAAATGAAGTCCATTGAGACTGCAAATTTACTATACTTTATCCATCCCCATAGAATTTTTTTCAAGTTTTTTTTGCTAATTGAACATCTTTATGACTTGTTCTATATCCAGTTGAAGGCAATGAGCCTACCATCACACTGAACAGTGATCCATCAGTGACTCCTATCAGACTGACAGCACGAGAGCCAAGTGTACTGAGATGCACAGCGAGCAGCTTCAGACCTGCAGTCAATCTAGAATGGTACAAAGATGACGTCAAGATCACAGCAGGTATCACTGAGGATACACCCACTCCTAATGGAGATACTTTCACTACATCAGGCACTTGGACATTTACTCCAAATATTCCAGACGATGGAGATCGCCTTGAATGCCGCACAACAGGACAGGTGGTCGCCACGGCAAAAACAGGAGGGCTCACTCTCAATGTACAATGTAAGTATAATGAAGTATACACATAGATCTTAGGGAGGTCAATAATGTCACCACTAGAATTAAATACATTTAAATCAGAAAGGCATAGAACCAACAATTATCCATATGAGTACCAGTATGAACATTATTGTGTTTGACAATTGTAAACACCAACAAATACATTGGTTCATCAAACAATACTTGACGAAGGTGTTTACCTAAAGCCAACTTCAGATGCTCTTAATTGGTTCTGTTTTCTTGTGTTTTCCGCCAACAAAATTGACTGTGATGATTTTGATAATCTTTATTCTTAGCCCATTTAGTTGCCACATATTCTTGTATTGTTTTCAAATGTACAACATATCACATTAACCAAACCGTGTGACAACAATATCCATCCATTTCCCCTCCAGATGTACCTGATGTCACAGTGGGCTACAGCGGTGGTCAGATAACCTGCTCATCAGATGCCAACCCACTGGCCACAACCCATCAGATAATTCGGAATGGCACCGACATTCTGAAGACATTCACCAACAGTCCAGGATATGTAGTATTCACACCAAAGTATTGCGCTGAAATCAGTTGTAACGCTACAAACACAATTGGAACAGGAACAGGCACGTTTGCTCAGCAGATATGCCCAGGTAGGTCTACGTAGTTCATCATATATGTTCCACACAATGCTGCCCCGTCTATCTGGATCTAGCATGCTAACAAATTAATGGCTTATCGTGCTTTCAATTTGAACAAATTTAATGAAACATTGATGAACAAATCCTTGAAGGTTGCATTTATAATAATGATTGTAAAGAAGCTGCCATCTTTTCACAGTATGGCAAAGGTTCTTAGAAGAAATGATTGATTCGACGTGTCGATCCTTGCTGTGTTTGCGACTTTCCAAAAAAAAATGAATAAACGACCTAAAGGATGACTTGCATTATTATCATTTTAATGGGAGCAAGATGAGTTTGTAGATAGAATATCAATCATTATGATACACTTGCTTTTCATGTGAAACTGTTTTCGTTTATTTTGACTGTCAATTTGGTTGAAATTTTTCCCCCCGAATTGAGTACAGAATTACCGAGAACAACGGAAGTTCCGTCAAAGGCAATGCATCCAACTATAAAATCTACAGGTAGATGCAATTGGCTTTGAAACTAATTCGTTTAAAAGCCAAACTTATACACTTTTTTAGAAATGAACATCAGCGGGGAAGGGTCTGAACTTCGGGTATGAAAAAAGTTTATACAATGTATTAAGGTTTCGCTGTCATTCTTCTCAGTTAGGCTGATTAAGGAGTTAGGTTGGCGCAGCTGTATTCTTCTCCACCTACCATCTCTGAGACCCATGTTCAAATCCTGACGAGGTCAATTTGATAATTAGGTCCCTTTTAGTATCTGATTTGGGGAATTTCCTTAATATTCCTGGCTTTTTTCACCTCTGAAACTAACTGTTTGTTTATTTTGTCTCAGAGCAGTTTTCCTCAGTAAGAATTGTGGGAAATCCTTAGTAAGATAAAATATACGGACTGCAAACGTAATTCCGATGGTCATTATTACATCTTAAATTAGGCTCTTCTGATTGTGAATGATGTATACATGCAATTCAATTCAGACATATTAAGCCTACATTCTCTGAAAGGTTGAACTAAAAAAATTGTGTCGATAAGTGTACATATTGTTGTTTTTGTTGAGTTGAACTTCAAAAACTCGTTTTGCATTGTAAATAATAATAAAAAAAGATGTATCGTTCATTGTAGCTCCACCTTCACCTACTTCAGTTGGCGTGATAGTTGGAGCAGTGGTGGCGGCTTTTATCGGTGGAGTTCTCGTTAGTGGTATCATTTTTTACATCATGAAAAGTAGACATCAAGTACAACATGAAAGAGATGGACTTCATAAAACAATCAAACACGATGGGTAAGTGTGGTTTGAGACGCATTGCAAATGTAGTTGTGCTAATGTTAAACGTGTGTGTGATAATGTGGTATGTCGCGAACCAGCAACATGAGAGATATGACGTTAGCTGGGACTGCTCATCCCCCATCTTAAATTATTTGATAGTAAGGAGGGATTTTGATCCAGCTACCTTTACGTGGTCAGCAGAAAACCTTTGCCTCCTGTGTATTTTCTTAGTTTTTTCTGAAGACAATCCTTTGATTCATAATGCAGGGATCACCTGAATCAAGACGGGCCTGATAAGAGAACACCCAAACGTGAGCAGAATCAAGGCAAGTGCCTCTTGACCTTCAATTACCTCAGATTAGACAACATGTATAACATTTCATCGTTTTGACCACATCTACTCGGTCCATCCTTGTTAAAATGTTGTCCTTGTTTAAAAGTACCTGGAAAATCCAAGTGCTGAGATTAGTTGCCAGCTATATGATTGAAATAACTGTATAGTCCAGTGCTCCAAACCCCAACCGGTTCACAGAATGCAACGCGGTGTAGGTCCCTATACAACTCAATTAGGCCTATTATTATTTTTTTGTGATACAATTCCAGAACTTCCAATGACTGCGCCCAGCCCTATCGCAGTCTATGAAAGCATTAGAGATGAGGGTGGTGAAGCGTCCCGGAAATCAACAGCCGAAGTGTACAGCAATGTTGGGCCTGACCTCGCATTCCCGCGAGATCTCGTGGTCATTGAGAAAGAGCTGGGACGGGGCGCGTTTGGGAGAGTTTTGCTGGGCACGGCTCTTGGGATCGAGAAAACTGGGAAAAGGACAAAGGTGGCCGTGAAAACTCTCAAAGGTATATTTGTCTATTTTTAACTGAAGGGGAAAGTAAGTGTGAACATTTCGGTGAAAGTTATGTGTTGTGTGTCCTCTCAGTTACTTTTTTAAGGAGTTTCATTAACTTTCATTTCGTACGACGATAGAGGGCGGTGGCGATCACGCTAAGGTGGAGCTTCTTGAAGAGTTGGAGCTAATGAAGAAAGTTGGCCGTCACCCGAATGTTGTTAAACTTCTCGGACATTGCAAAGAGAAAGGTAATTTGAATTAGTTATATTTATACTGCAGGGAGAAGTCTTTAACTCGCAAGCATTATGGCCTGTAATGTAACAATATATTTATGTGGTGTTCCGGGTCTCGGTGACCATAATGTGTTCATTTGTTTCTTAGATCTCGTGTATGTGATCGTTGAATACCTTGCTATGGGTGATCTGAAGAAGCTTCTGATGGAGTATCGAGACAAGGACCCAGGGACAGGTTACTCCAACCTACCCGGCTTGAGCAAATCCCTGTCTCGGACATTGGTCAATTTTGCCAGGGATGTGGCAAACGGAATGGCATTCATATCATCTCAAAAGGTGAAATAAAGAATTTCATTAAAATACCGATTATCGATCCACATGCAATAATACTGTTTGGCAACGCACAGTGCGCCTTCGCGGCTGCACTGAGTTAAGTTTAGTTTCGGTTCCTTTCTTTATAGGAAAAGGAGTTTAAAAATAGGCTGTGCTGATTAGCTTATCCTTGACCATGTGGCTCTTCATTAAACCATGGTGGATAAAAAATGTATGAGTTTTCCCTCAATGACTGTTCACAAGTCGGTTCTGGATGGCTTCAAATTAGGTAATGTACAGCACGTATGGCGCAAAGGGCACAGTGTGATGTACGCGCCATCAACCCTACAACAACAACAACACGTACCTTTACCGCATCGCTCAGGTACGGTGTGGTTTTTTGGTACAGTATGTTGATTTCCATTAAAAGCAAGACCAGCCAAGCCGAGTAAGCTGGTCCCCGCCGACAAGTCCATGTCACAGTTGACAGTCATTGAGAGAGCTAAACAGAATCCACAAGTGAGTCATTCATTCAGAAAGTTACGAAGGGGCTGGCCTTCTTGGACAAGCAAAAATCTGAATTTCAGCATTTGCTTTTAGGTGTTTTTGTCTGAAGTATTGGTTGCCTTACTTGTTGGTATGTGAAGCGGTTGGTTTCTTCTAAGTTGGGTGATTTTTTGTTTATCTCAGTGTGTGCATCGTGACCTTGCCGCTCGTAACGTGTTGGTGGGGGATGACCTGGTGTGTAAAGTGTCTGACTTTGGACTGGCCCGTGACGTCATGAACACACGTATCTACCAACGAGAATCACAGGTACCAGACACAGACCACACTTCGCGTTAAAAATCCACGATACAGTTCGCAAATATCATGGCAATAATAAAGGCTATCATTATACGGTAGACAGGGTGTCCCCCGAAAAGTTAACCCACAAACAGAGTTTGTTCATATTATCCTTAAGGTGGGTTACCTGGGTTTTATTTGGGGGGGGGGGGCGGACGTGTATTGGAGAGAATTTAAAAAGTAGTCTAGTGCACTGTGAGATGTTGAATTGATTACACTACACTAAAAATCGAGTGAAAGAAACTTTTGGATATCTACTTATAGGGTGCTCTTCCCATGCGCTGGATGGCGTTGGAATCTTTTCTAGATGACGTGTACACGACAGAGAGTGACGTATGGTCTTTCGGGATTCTGCTGTGGGAGATAGTGACACTTGGTAAGTGTATCAACTCTGGGGTGTGTGGAACGACACTGGGACCATAGCATCATTAAAAATTAATAACCATGTGGGCTATACATGTACGTTGGTGATCGAGTGCCTACTGAGAAATAATACAATCAATGAACCCCTTTTTTCGACAGGTGCACGGCCGTATCCAATGATGAAGACAAAGGCAATGGTCAGCCAATTACAGCAGGGCTATCGTATGCCGAAGCCTAAAAACTGCAAGAAACAGCTGTAAGTACTTTTCAATTAATACGTGTGCACAGATGGATCGAAATTATTTTCCTTTGAAGATAGTAGATATGTCGATATGAAGTGGTGTTTGAAAGAATGGGTGTCGTCTTTTCATTATCAATTGCACGATTGGCATGTTTCAGGTATGATATGATGTGCAGCTGTTGGCAGGAGAGTCCCAAGGATCGACCCACATTCCAGAGTCTGTATCAGCAATTGGACGACATGTTATCTGAAGAGAAGGTTGGTGACACACAATCTGCACAATATTTAACACCATCAGAAAGGTTTGATATATTTAGATCAGCTGTCACAGGACTCAGCTCGATCAGTATAATCAATTGCTAAGGAAGAGGATCCGCTTTTGATGTCAGCAGAAAAAAATACCATAAAAGTAGTAAAAAACTACCCATTAGGCCGACACTTATCTTCGGTGTCCTTGGCATAAAATTACCGAAATATATATGGTACTTATAATTATACTCCTGCTTGGAGAGAAGTGAATTAGGGTGAAGTAGATTGCCCAAGGACACAACATTAGACCAGCCGGAGGAACCAAACATCTGACCTTTTGGTCATGAGTCCCAAACTCCCACACCCCCTTGCAAAAAAGGAAACTAACAATTTCTTAGAGCAGGATACCAAACAGATAACTGTTGATGCTGCGTTTGAACTGAGACAGGTTTGACAAGAGAGAATTAAGATACAGGAATTTTGTAGTAAACTAGAATAACAGTTTACCCTTATACACAAACAAATACTGAATCCCAAAACAACTCCACATCAGTTAAACAGTTGTATAGAATTTTGTCTTGCCATTACTTTTGACATAATTGGAACTCATATTTATGTAATATTTCTTTTAATACCTAACAGGACTACATCACCATTCACAAGCTGGATGAAAGCATCTACGAAGTGACAAAGATCGAAGACACGAACGAGAAACTGTGAGAGTTGGCATCAAGATCTCTCGGCAGAAAAATTCATCATCGAATTGTTTCGAATTGTTTGATCAATTAGCCTACAAGTAAAAGATGAAATTGTACGCAAGAGACGACATTACCTGTTTATTAAATTCGTCAAGGACGTTATATCGTAAGATAGAATTAGAAAATTTAATATACAATTAACTTGTCTTATATTATCACGGTGTATATGCATGATGTGAGTTTTGATACAGTTATTATTCAAGTAATATTTTTAATGGTTTTGTGTCACCTTACAACAAAGTAAATGAGACCAACGTGAAAGCGATAGCAATAGTATTTCTTGTATAGCTTTTTTGGTTTACATACACAAAAGGCTGAAGTTTAATATGCGAGATTTTCTGTATTAAGGTTTTTTTTTGGTTGTGAATATTTGTGTAGAGTATACTATTTTTTGGTGAAAAATAATTAGCCAACAGGATACCGCGAACTTGGAGGTCCAATCACTTTGTGTCCAGATGCAACGAATTTAGTTCTAAGATACTTTATTTTTACTTTTAAGTTTCCGTGTAATTATGAAATATAATTAGTGTACTCGGATCTACATTATAGGCCTATATATATCTCATCTGTAAACTTGTTTTGTTTCTCTTAACTTACATTGTGAATGAACTGTAAAAAGTGTTGCCTATACTCAAAAATGGCTTCATGAGGAAATCAGCAAGATAGTTAGCTGCTACGTAGGCCTATATTGGCAATTTACAACTCAACTTGAATAGTACAAAGCCCTGTGATATTGTTGCTTTCCCGAACCAACATTATGCAAGAATGATATTTTTTATATTTTAAATGAAAACGAAACTCTGGTATATTTCAGCCGAATATGTTTGCAAATATTACACCGTAACATGGGCGTCGCCAGGATTTTTTCTAGAGGGGGGCAAACAAATTTTTGGCCAAGAAATGCTTGTATTTCTCAACACATTCTCGATTTATCAGTTTTAGAGGGCGGCAGGGACATTTTGCCCCCCCCCCCCAACTCATTAAATTTACACCACTTTGTCTTCGCGCCTCTTTTTCTTTTCTTTTTTTTCTTTTCTTTTTCTTCCTTTTTTTTGTTGTTGTTTTTGTTTTGCTTTTCCAGGGGGGGGGGGGGGCAAGTGCCCCCCCCTTGCCCCCCCCCCCTCGCGACGCCCATGCACCGTAATATAGATTAGCTTGTGCCGTCCAATTTTGAAGGCAACTTGAGTGGTTCCTTAACTGTAACATGACACTTCATCTTATTAACATTTCTGGTAATAGTATTAACAACAATTGGTTATTAATCGGAAACCGATAGAAGGAAGTTTTATAACGGTACAGCACGGACAAAAGTCATACTTTTGTATTAGACATACTACGCAGATACACATTGAATAATTTCATTACTTGTCATGAAGTATGTCTATCATTAAAATAGTTTCATTTTTGACATATTACAGAATGAGCAGTGGCGGTGGCAGTCTACTCTTTTTTCGAGGGGGGGGGTATCTAAGACGAAGTTTGTTTTTTACTTCTAAATTATGTATTTTTGTAAATATTTGTAATTTGAGCGCGGTTAAATAAATGATTTCTCTTTAAATGTGTAAACTGGTAATTTCCAAAGTTATTTGCTGATAAGGTTTACTATTAAATAAATAAACCGAATTATTTGAGTCAAGAATGAGACATTATGTTTACTGTCAGATTGTGTGTTTTGAATGTAAAAAGTCAATTTATCGATTTTTTTTGTCTGTATTCCTTTGCAAGTATTTGTTCATTCATGGAGGTAGGCAAATGTTTATGTTTCATTCTAATTAATGGGTATTTCATCAGTTCGTAGAACGATAAATGATCAGGTGTGGGCATCTAAATTTTGTAATCTTGTTATTAAAATAGTCGCAACTTGGGAGAAATGTTCACAGTTGCTGTAGTCAATAACGTGTGGGCCTAGTTCCCCCATGTTATTTAGACACACATATTTTGATTTTTTTTTCTAATTCAGTCAGTTTCGTTTTGACCCACCATGTACAGGTACAAACAACCTCCGGACATGAGGATTGGTTCTTTTGTATTATTCTCCTTCCAGTACTTTCCCCGAAATTCACAATCAGAGTATTCGTCAATTCTTTCTGTGTATTTTTTGAACGTGATTTCCTGGTGCTAGCTGGGTATACGTACTGACTTGACCGTCATGCATGAAAACATGAATACAAAAGGGGACCCACATGTTATTGCCAAAGTACACAATTCCAGCGGCAGTGACAGCCGGATACGTGTGCATTAATAATTCCTGTTGTTGGTCCATAGTTAGTTCCTTATATGCCCGCCATCATGCATCCCCATTGCTTTTACCTTTTTTACCCGAGGGTGGATCCAGAACACAATTTTGTTTTTTTTTGGGGGGGGGGCAAATTTTTTTTTAGTCCCCCCCCCCCCCATGAGCCCAAAAATTACGGCGAGAGATTCGGGGACCGCTTAAGGGCCCAGAATTTGTTTTGGATTCTAGATGCTCTTTGGAGCGTTTGAGGCAATTTTTGACCACTTTAACTAATTTTTTTTTTTGAGGAAAAGATGGTGGTGTACGCAGTGCCTGCCTTTATTGCGACGTCAGTTAAAAACAAAAATTGGGTTCGTTTTTTTTGGGTGGGGGGGGGGGGGCAATCGCCCCCGTTGCCCCCCCCCCCTTGATCCGCCCTTGTTTTCACCCTTTACAAATCAAACTCCTGCATCCCCAAAAGTCTTCGGTACACATCTTCAGGTAATGGTGTAAGTGTTTGCCAAGTCTGAAATCTATCGGATCAACGAAAGTGCCAAAGTGAGCACAAACATGTACAAAACAAATGGCTAAAATCTTCAAATTTCCATATGGGCAATGTGTGCACGGAAACGCAGAGAACAAAAACAATAGCTGCTTCGGCAGTGTACTGCCGAAGTAGCTAAATATCAGTATACTACTTGTACCAATAAGCCTATACAGACACAATGGTGGTATCTGACTGTATACCCCCCCTCCCTCGCCCCCCCCCCTCCTCCCCTTCCTCCCCTCTCCTTCCCAGATCCGCCAAGGCAGTAGACTTGAAATCAAGTCTGTAATGAGTGGTTTTAATCGCGTCCGCCGCGCGCGACTGCCAAGCTCTGTGCCGGGGGTACGACATACCTCAAGCTGTCCTAGTAGCGGGGACGCTATACGTACATTTTCGACCCCATGCTGGTGCGATCCCATGCGTGTACTGACCATGCCGCGCGCGCGGTGTACGTGTATGTACATCGTACATGTACACATGACTTTTGCATGAATGGTTGTAGCGCTCACGTTGCGTGAACGGCGGTGGCATGGCCGGTATGCGGATTCTGGCGCTGAAGACGGACATAAACCACTTTACCATGGTCTAACGACTTGCCATCAAGTCTACCAAGGCAGTTACACTTGCGCCGGTGTTCAACCAAATTCAGGCACCAGTATATGCTACAATATGAGTGCGCATGACTGCGCGTACGTATAGTGTGACGGTTAACTTCCTAGACGTACCAACAAGAAGTAATGAATAATGAATTATTAGAAGTTGGCCGTGAAAATTACGTGTCACTATCGTGAAAGCTTTGATTTTTCATTCAAGTTCAAAGGTCATGCTAGTACAGTGTGTCAAGGGGTACGAGTTTAATAAATTATACTTCCGCGTACATGTAGCTGTGAAGTATGCAACAACCGTATGAAAATGGAAACGTTGATGACAGACCTACAGATGGCCCTTTGGGGCCAAGTGATCACATATCTGTCTCTTGCCGTCATGCCATTAGGTAGGTAAAGACTGAACCTATAGTTGTAGTCTGTAGGGCTGGGCCGACCTTACACAGGTAATGCACCGATAGAATTATTTTCACATTTGATTTCCTAATTATTCTATTTTTCCAATTCCTGTACGACCGGTATTAAACCACGCATCGGTGCACATAAAACGTGGATGATAATCGCCACCTAATAGAATAAAATCCGTGTAGATGTACATGTATAATGTCTGTAATTATTAAACGGATGTAGTCCTGTGACAAATTGAAAAGTCGTGAACATGAAACTTTTAATTGATAAGAATTCCCTTCATGTTTTTTTTTTGCATTCTAGCTGTGACTGGCGTTACTACTGGGCCAAGCACTGTACACATTAAGGAGGGCGATAATGCAGTATTAACCTGCAGTGCGGCCCCAAGTGTAACAGTAACTTTCTCATCATGGCTAGATGGTGTTAGCATCATTGCCACTGATGGAATTATCAGGAGTACGGATGACAAATACTCCAACTTTGCTGTTGATACTTCAGCTGCTGGTCAGAATGATCTCCTAATCAACAATGCTGAATACGAGGATGAAGGAATATACACATGCCAGATTAATGCCGATGCGGATGATACACCAACAACCCTGGTTGTGGAAGGTGAGTTATGTAAATAAGCAACCTGCAGTATGATCAGTTATTGCTTTCATGTCTCCCTAGCTTCAGCGTATAGTATGGCATAAAGGGGGAAATAAGGAGCGCACTCATTCATTGTAAAGAGTAAAAGCATTGTTAATAGGACACCATTATCTTTGATGAAGCTGAAGAGTTGCTAGGATACGCGCCGCAATATACTTTTGTCATCGTAACAATTAGGGCCTATGCCTTTTATTGTAATGCCACTGTCATGCAGCATCAGCTCTTGTTCAGCCTTATCTTTTCCACGGTGTCTTCCACTTCCAACCCACCCCGTCTCGTTGTCCTCATCAGTGTGAAAACAATGATCCAAATCGCAAACAAAAGTGTACATCTTGTATAATTTATATACAGGGTGACCCCCCAAAAATGCAACCCTAAAACATTTGCCTTTAAAATAAAAGGGATTAGTGAAATTTGATGGTTTTGGTATCAGATTAAAGCTGAGGGCTTTTTCTTTCAAATACTGCGAAATTTATGTAAAAGTTGTAATTTTTCATCCTGTACACAAAAAATTACCACAATGAGAGATTTACACCGTACATATTTTGTGCATGTCCTAATCCTTTCAAACAACACGGCACATAATATGACAAGAGTACACACTGATGAAATAACTTTTATTTTCCAACAGGTATCTCAACCTTTTTAGTCCTCTTTTAAGCCCTTTCAGCATCATAAATATGTCAAAACACTAAAGAAAGTGCACAGATGAAGGATAATTGCACAGTAGGCTATTACAGTAAAATGTTTCACTGTTTGAAGCTTTAATGTACAGGATGCATGATAAATGACTACCTATACATAAATGACATTTTCTCAGCAACTCAGTATTTGAAAGAAAAAGCTCTCAGCTTCAATCTGATACCCAAGACTTAAACATCGGCCGATCTTATAAGGCAAATGTTTAAGGGTTGCATTTTTGTGGTCATCCTGTATATAGGGTAAATGTACTAACATGTTGTATGCAAATATCCTTTTTTTTTGCAACTGAACAGCTGAAGTAACAAGTGTCACCATCGCAGTAGACGGTTCTTTGGCATCTCCAGGTGCAAGAGTCACCATGCCAGATAAAAGAGCAGTAGAGCTTGTCTGCACTGCATTTGCAGGCAGACCACAAGTAGCGATAGATTGGATCAACAAGGACACTAATGATGTTGAAGTTAGTATCCCTGGTGACACGGAGACTGTACTTACAAATCCGGACAACGCGGACACACAAGATACGATTAGCACACAGCGGTTTACTCCAACTAAAAGTGATAATGACCACCAACTGATCTGCAAAACATCAGGACAACAGGCTGCGGCATCACAGTCCCAATTCATCAGACTCAATGTTCAGTGTAAGTCTCTTGCACTGAATAAATTATTTCCTCAATCGAATTATTATATTAAACGCCTGTAATGTATGTTGTCAGACAAGCTACACTATAGGATGGTATTGAGGAGAGATCCTAAACATCCAATTTAGCAATTTATTTGTGAATTTTGGGCAATAAACATTGATTCACACGGCCTTTGATGTTTGGAAAATTTTCAGAGTGTCTATAAACCATTTTTTAGTAGCTACAATTAATGTGTGAATGCAAATATCAGAATTACATATGAAGACTCGTATTTGTCACGTATTAAATGTTCTTTTTCATCCAATATAGATAAACCTGATGTAATGGTAACATACACCGATAAGAAGATCTCCTGTTCAGCCGATGCCAATCTATTGGCTACCTTGTATGAGATCATTCTGAATGGCACAGTAGTTTTGGAGACCTTCACGACTGGTGGACAAACCGTAGACTTTGTGCCAGATTTCTGCACCACCATCAGTTGTAACGCCACCAATACAATCGGCACAGGGACGGGAACATTCAACAACAACCAACCAGTATGCCCAGGTATGTGTTGGAAAAGTATAATATATTTTTCAAGAATGTAAATTCATTTAAGGAATCATTTCAATGTAACATTATCTTTTAAATTCGTGTGTGTGGAAAATCATAAAGGGTAATTATTAAATTGCAAACAAATAAAAAATATACAAGGCAGTAGACAGAAAATCGCAACTGAGTATTATATTGTTTATAAAAAAACATATTGGCGAAGGGAATAACCAAATAAAGCTGACATCTTGCGACACAAATTCCATCTTATAAAAAGTATAAATCAAAAATTAAAGTAGACTGATATTTCAGCCTTTGCAAGGACTTCTTCAACGGGCAAATGACAGGAAAACAAGAAACAAACATGTAGGGGGCACATGAGCATGGTTAATACAAAATACAGATGGTGTTACTCAAACCTGTAAAAAGGAAAACAATGTAATAGTTGTTAGGACAACATATAAATGCTGAAACACAAAGACAAACAGTATTTACAAGTCAGGAAGGAGGATCACCACCAAATTAAGTATGTGTAATTTGATTTAAATACATTCGAAGAAATTGACCGAGGCAGTGTGTGAACCCGGAACTTCTGGTGTGTAGCAACTTACATCGCGCAGCTTTCTAACCCTGTGTGTATGTAAGTCTTCCAATTTGCCATTTTGTTGGGCGTATAGCAGTACGCACGGAGCTAGATCCACGCAGCTCACTTCGTCACATATATGATTTTCCATGCAGCAGGTTCAAAATCCGTTTATATGACTGTGTCAATTTTCTGTATAGAGGGATTTTGTTATTTTATTCTCTTGATTTCCTGGCAGTGTTGAAATCACCTGACTTTCTAGTCAATCAGCTCTTCTCTGCATGCTTTGATTTTTTTATAATTAGTTTTCTTGCTTCTGTCCTCCTCCTCCCACTTTTGTGTGTGATTGTCCTGATATTTGTAGGCTATGTTGAACCCACGACTCCGGCACCACCTAAACCAAGTGACCCAACAGTAACACCGAAGCCCTCTGGTATGTGTACCACCTTTATTACATTTGCGGTTAGGAGGGGAAGATGTTCTACATGTTACTTCATCTTCCGTCCTCTTTACTTTTTTTTCATTTTGGTCAACTCCAGTCTTGTTTTTCCTTTTCTGTGTTTCATTGTTTTGTCTCATAAAAAAAATGTATTTGTAGCCTTATTCTTAAAAAAATGTAAAAGTTTCACTTTTCGGTTTTCTTAAAATCACCTTTTGAGTACGTTTATTTCAACCACTTTTGAGCTACATTGCTTTTGTATCATTCATTATTAGTGTTTCACCTGCACCCATTATTTACGTAAATCATTTGCTGACCGTCATTGAAGTTGTTCATTACTTTTGACACCACATTTAAATACCAGACTTCTTCAAAAAATACATGACTTCCCACAGAATGCATTGCCATCGAGTATCCTTATGTTTTATTCTTTTAATGCCACGATGACCCCTTTACAATTGTTTTGATTCAAAACTACGATGAATATCTGCTTGTGTTCACATGGATTGAAGACATGAATAAAAAAAAATTGTATCCGGAAAGAATATAAAGCATTCTAAGAGAAAATTTTGGGGTTTAACTCTGGTAGACTGAGTCTGTATTGTTTTCTGTTAACTGTTGATCATGGACGCCGTCTGAATGAAATCTGATATTAGCTCTCATTGTCTTACAGCTTCTCCAGTAGGTGTCATTGTTGGGTTTGTAGTGGCAGTCATTGTCATTGTGGCCGTCGCTGCTGCTCTTGGAATTGTCCTGTGGAGACGTCACCAATCACGAACTCAAGGACAAACGAAAACAGGCGGGAAAGATGTCGGGTAAGTGAAGAAAGGCCTACATTACAGAATATAGCCTCAACCTATAGGCCCAGCCGTCACCTTGTTGGACATGAGATATAAAAAAATGTTACGAAGTTCCGGACTTTCTTCAAGAAGTGCTTACTGTTATCCACATCACATACTTTACCCTTACATGAAAAAAAAATCACTTTAAGCTTTTAAACTGAACTTATATAAGTCAATTGTAAGGAAATGTGGATTTATTCCTCTTACAGAGCTTATGTGGTTCCACACAGACAGGATAATGACATCTCACCATTGCCTGTCAATGATCGGGCTTCTCCTGGACAAGACCACCACCATGCAAACGGTAAGTACCAGACAGTGGATCCAGTTAAAACGCAAAGGATAAACAATCTTGAGAATATAATGTGGTAAACCAAAGCTGTACCGATATATTGTGCCAAGGCTGACTAATCCTGAGCACCTTTAAAATTTCCGGCTCTGATTCGACCCTCACTCTAGGTCAACTTTGACATGAAAAGCGTACAGCATGTCAATTTTGCGTGTCAAAATGACATCTTCCAGGTCGAATGGTCTGGAAGTGTCTCAAGTGACATCTTGACCCGGAGTATCAAGTCGAATCTGAGCAGGATCCTATGTATGGGATTAAAGTCGAATTAGTTTTGGCATGGTCTGCACAATTTGAGTACGTTTATGCTTGCAAGATTGATGACTCAATTTCAATTTAAAAATATAATAATACTGTTGGGTTTCAGATATTCCTCTGGACCAAATTACCACAGCAGTGGTATATGAGAGTATTCCCAATGAGGTCAGCGTTGAACCTAAGGCATCAAACGGCGTGGCGTATGGCAACGTAGGACCCGATCTCTCTTTCTCGCGAGATCTCGTGGTGATCGAGAATGAGCTGGGACGAGGGCAGTTCGGCAGGGTGCTTTTGGGAAAGGCACTTGGCATCCAGGAAGCCGGGAAAGAAACCAAGGTTGCCGTCAAGACTCTCAAAGGTTTGTTGATCATCTTCGAAAAAAGCAGGCCTACAACTACGAGCACAGTTTTGTGGAAACACTTCACGAACTGCCATTCTCTGAAAGAAGAGAAGATGCTAGATAACTCAGCAGGCCTTTTCAGCGCCGAGTCATGTAAATGGTGTATGTGCAAAATGCCTTCCCTGTTGAGAGTCACTAAGTTGTCTGTTTTCTCATTCCTTTGCTAACACTGCTTTTCTTTGATGTGTTGTTTAGTACGGTAGATATTTCCTCTACAAATACAGCAATTTCTCCAATAACTGTTGGGGGAAACAAATCATGTGAGCATTCAGCCCATTGTAAATAGAGCTCTGGTTTGGCTCCAGGAAACTTCTGGTCTCTGAATTTTGATGGGACATCGTTCCAGTATAAATGATTCCCTTCTGTCTCAGGAAAAGAACATCAAATTCTGTTGTATGAAGCCAAATGTTACAATAATATCATTTTTCTTAGCGAATTGGAAACTTTATATTGATTATGGAGCCAGTGCTTAACAAAGTGTAGCTTTGGAATATCCCCAAATATATTTGCTTTAATTATTTTATTTCATCATGATAGAGGGCGCTGACAGGCAAGCAAGGATGGAGCTTCTGGCGGAGTTGGAGCTGATGAAAACAGTCGGGTCTCATCCCAACGTGGTCAAGCTGCTGGGATATTGCGCAGAGAAAGGTATAACTCGGAACACTCTTTGATTGCCCTATTTTTAGCAAGACTAGTGACCCATATCCCATTCATGACATGCAACAGATATTATCCAGGTACAAGTCGAAAAGAATACCAAAAAGGTCATGACATCATATAGGTTGAAGAGCTAGTTTATTTAAAGGATGCTCTCTAATTTCTGTACAGTGAAAATGCACAGTCATCAAAGTGCAAATGTATTCCTATTCAAGTGAAGTTACTCCATACAACTGAAACCTGGTGCTAGACGATTTAGCTTGAAATTTATTCAATCGGACAGAACAGTTATCACTCGAGTTTCCACGGGAGTGATTCATTTTCAAAGAACGAAAGTCTCAAATTAAACCGATGTTTCATCTGCTCCTTAGTTTCAGTCTTGTGAAATACGAGTTTAAGAATACAGGTAGCATACAGCTGAAAAGGACTCGAGTCGTTTTGTGATTTGTTTCAGATCCCGTGTACGTGATCGTTGAACTCCTTGCTAAGGGTGACCTGAAGAATGTTCTGATGGAGTATCGAGACAAGGATCCAGGGACAGGTTACTCCAACCTACCCGGCCTGAGCAAATCACTGTCTCGGACATTGGTCAAGTTTGCCAGGGATGTGGCAAATGGAATGGCCTTCATATCCTCTCAAAAGGTAAAATAATGAATGAAATAAAAATATCTATTTCCAATAAACATATCATTGTTTGGAAGCACACATACAACCTTCGTGGCTGCGCTGGAGTTCAGTTTGGTTTCTTTTCCTTTGCTGTATAAGAAAAGGGATTTAGAAATAGCACTTCTGTACTGATCGCCTCGTTCTTTACCATGTGGTTCTAATCATTGAACACGATTTGTTGAGTCCCTTGTGACTTCAGATATAGGTTCTGGAATGAAGGGAACCTCTTGAGGGCAAGCAATCCCTGTGACCATTAGCCTTTTACCTTGAGTGACTTTCAGCTCGTTTCCAGACCAATGCTAGTCACAGTTGACAGTCAGTGAGAAAGGTAAACTGTTGAAGCCACAACTGACAATCAGCCAGTGAGTCGGTCATTATGATAAATACAAAGCGACCGACACCGGGCTTCTTGAGCTGCAAACATCCTAGTTTCAGCATTTGCTTCTTCTTCTTCCCCTCGAGGATTGTTCCCTTTTTGGGGTATATAACAGTGTTTGATTTCTGTTCAATTACATTACTTTTTATTCTCAGTGTGTGCATCGTGACCTTGCAGCTCGTAACGTGTTGGTGGGAGATGACATGGTGTGTAAAGTGTCTGACTTTGGACTGGCCCGTGACGTCATGAACATCCGCATCTACCAACGAGAATCACAGGTACTGCGAACACCATTGTTTTAACAGCCATTGTAGCTTAATTAAAGTCATACAACTATGATCATCGATCATCGCTTGGAGGGAATTAATCTAATAACAGGCAAGTACACTTTGCATCATTATTAGATGTTCCACAATGCAGTATTATTACTGCCATTGAAAATTTTAGGCCTATACAGAACAAAACTGAATGAAAAAAAACTTTTCATGTCTCTACTCACAGGGTCCGCTTCCCATGCGCTGGATGGCGTTGGAATCCATTCTTGATGACGTTTACACAACAGAGAGTGACGTATGGTCTTTCGGGATTTTGCTGTGGGAGATAGTGACACTTGGTGAGTAACAAGCACGACTTGGTTGATATAAACAGTACGTTTCACAATACGGATTTATGATCACGAAAGCATAATTTGTATACGGTGAGTGGCTGTTGTCAAATGTATACAATGTACCCCTATTTCCGACAGGTGCACGACCGTATCCGCTGATGAAAACAAAGACAATGATGAGCCAATTGCAGCAGGGCTATCGTATGCCGAAGCCTCAACACTGCAAGAAACAGCTGTAAGTATACTGTCAGCTTATGAGGAATGCACACATTAATACATGTTTAATGTTATGACCCCCTTCAGACATGAATTTAGAAATAGATATGGAATTTGAAAGTGTGGACGTCTTTCCTTAATCGATTACATGATGGCGTTACATGTTCCAGGTATGACATGATGTGCAGCTGTTGGCAGGAGAGTCCCAAGGATCGACCCAGCTTTCAGAGTCTGTATCGGCAATTGGACGACATGCTGTCCGAAGATAAGGTAGGTGACACAATCGATAACACTTGCAGAAACATTTGAAGTTTCCCCACAATACAAAAATCATGTACCGGTACTTGATTTGACAAATAAATGCTGAGGGAGGATAAGTCTGTCTCAGCCAATATGGCTCTTCTGACGGCGTTTATCTTCAGTTTCCTTGAGATAAAATGACTAAGAATAAATGTAATTCTATTCCCCTGGATAGCATGCCAGCCAATCTAAAGTTTCTGCCCAGCTTATGCTGGTATCCTAATCCTTGGAGGAGAGAGGCAAATGGGATGAAGTGACTTCCCCAAGGGCAAAAATGTAAACCATTAGGCCACACTCTCCTAGAGATGACGAAAGAAAGGTTAATGAGTTCTGTTAAACAAGTACAACTTTGTTTAACTGTACAGGTGTATACTGAATACATGTAAATGACAAACACGTACCATACACCATTTTAAATAATTCACATTTTAAACAATTCCCATGTAATGTGAAAGCAATCGAAAAAGGTACGGTGAATATGAACAACGAATGAGAGGTTTGCGGTCACACAATGTGAATGATATCTGTTTTTTTTTAGTTGTGTGGTTCTGAGAAGAACCAGTTGTTCTAACACATCTAATGTTTGTTGTTAAAAATTAGAAAAAGCTTACATCATCTCACACAACACATTTACCTTGTTGGTAAAAATGCTGTATGTTGTTTGCCATTTACATGTTATACACATTAAGTGTTCATGTCATGCACTATCTACATAATCCAACTCTTAGTAATGGTACGTTTATTTTTATTAACAGGATTATATCACCATCCACAAGCTGGATGAAAGCATCTACGAAGTGACAATGGTCGAGGACACGAACGAGAAACTGTGAGAGTTGGCACCAAGATCTCCCGGCAAAAAAATCATGAAATTGTTTGATCAATCCTATACAAGAAAATACGAAATTGTATAGGAGAGACGGCATTACTTGTACGTCAAATTTGTCAAAAACGCTATATCGTAGGTATTAGAAAGTGTAATCTCGAAATATCTTGTCCTATATTATCACGGTTTATATCCATGATGTGAATTTGATACTGTTATTATTAAATAATAATTCAATGTTTAATTTCACTGTTGTAACCCTTCCCCAGGGTCATGGGGTTTGTTCCTATTTGTGGAATAAAACATAACATAACATAACATTAAAGTTATATTTTCAAATTTTTTGTATCACCTTAGAACACAGTAAATGAGACCAAGGTGAAAGCGATAGCAATATCATTTCATGCATAGCTTTTTAATGTTAACATGGATGTACACAGATGCTGAAGTTGAATATGTTGGATGTTGGATGGATTTTTTTTAGATGGATTTTTTTTGCACTTTTTACGTGAGATATACACTGATACAATAGGGTACCATGAACTTTGGTAGACAGTCACATTGGTGAACGGATCGAACAAAGTTAGCCTCAAGAACTTTTTTAATTTATTTATTTTGTGTTTACATATTAGTTGTATTTATTTTTCCATATACAATATAATGAGTCTACTCGGTTCTATATTTTATATATCATTCATCTGTAAATATTAACATGGGGATAACAATGTTTACTTTCTCTAGACTAGTTACGCTGCGCATGAACTATAAATAATGTTGCCAATAATCTCTTATATCCAAAGATTGAACATTTATTTCACTTGAATGGCAATTTACTCCCACCAACTGAAACTATGGACTAGACGTTTTAGAGTAAAATTCATTCAGTGGAATAGATTCACTTGTCACTCGAGTTTCCACTGAATTGGTTCTTTTTTCAGTGTATGTCAATCTATAATTAGAGTGGTATCGTCTGATCGTTAGTTTCACTCTTTGGAATAAAAAAACAGGCCTTCTCAAAAATGACTTTCGGATGGAAATTAGCAAGTTTGACAGATTATCTACGTAGGCAATTTGCCGCACAACTTTAATAGTAAACACCCTGTGATGTTGTGGTTTCCAGTACTAATACCAGTGTTTTAGTCGAGTCCTTTTTTTCCCGAGTACCGAGTACTGCCGAGTACTTAGGTTTATCGACTACGAGTACGAGACGAGTACGAGAACTTCAGGGGCGGAGCCAGGATTTTTTGCAGGGGGGGGGGTTTCATCAGCCAAAAAAACTGAAAATGTACACAGGTTTTTTTTTGTTTTCTCCGGACACTTGGCCTCCGTAAAATCAAAAACTGGGGGGGGGGGGGGGGGGGGGGGTCGCTGTTCAAATTCGACGATTATTAACACTAGATTACAGAATGGTGTACCGTGTTTTGAACAGGCGGACATTATACCAGTATAATTTTTGTGGGGTGTCACAGCGGGGGGGGGGGGGGGGGGGGGGCGGGGGGGGTTGACTTATTTTTTAGGAATTTGTGTGAGAATTTTTTTTTTTTACATAGCTGGGGGGGGGGGGTGACCCCCAAACACCCCCACCCCCACCCCCACCCCCTCTGGATCCGCGCCTGGTAGGTTAGCTCTGAGACGAGATATCGTGACGAATAAAAAGGTACCTGGAGGACCCGGTCCAAAACCAGAATACCGTTTTTATATGGGAAATGTTCGGCATTATACAATACATTTCGTTGGTGTTGCATGTAACATAATAAAATGCGTGCGTGCTCATTCGTGTGCACTAAATTATAGGTGATTGCTCATTTGGTTATGACATTGATAAAGAAAATTGTTTTGTTCTAACCATTTGATTGTCAATTTTGCCGTCTATTTTTAACCACTTTTACCGTTTAACTAATGCTGTAAATTATTAACCGTAGAATGTAGACTAGAATTGAGCAAGGGACGATTTTGCGCGCTAACACATTTTAGGTAATTGCTCTCTTTGGTATCATTAATAAAGTAAACATTATTGTGTACCCAGTTAACTGCAAATTTTGCCGTTTATTTTAGCCAGTTTTATCAGTTAGCCAATGATGCAACGCATTAACAATAGAAAGTAGAATACAATCGAGTGATAGAAACGTTTTTTTATCAGACTGACAAACACTCCTTTAGTGTAATTTGCGTGAAGTATAATAGTTTAAAGACAGCAGAGTATTTAAAACAGTTAAGACGTAGGCCTACAATAAACAATTAAGGCCTAAATATTTTGTATGTTGATGAATATAAATCAATGCTATTACGTGAATTTTTTTTAAAGCTTCTTTGTGGATAATTCATGTATTGCAAAATGCATCGACCACAAATACACGTATGTTTAATGGCTACGTAATCCATTTATTCGGACCAGTCTTTCTTGCATTAGATATGAGAAACATATTCAGAACAATTATATCAACTAATTAAGCCTTCAGATTTTTTTTACAGAAGAGATAGCAATTATTTTGTTAGATTTTGTACGCGTTTGCTCAGATTTTGCTCAGACTAGGCTGCTGTGCATTGACTAGGCTGCCGTTATCATCAGTGCATGCTACAAATAATTGTACTCGTGCAGCTGTTGTTTCGTGCAGCTGCCAGATGAAGAGTGTTGTTGAATGCAATGACGTGTTTTTAAATTGCTTATTGTAGAGTAGTGAACTTTCATTACACAATGACACAGTCCTGATTCAGTAATCCGTGCTTAAATGTTTAAATATAAGATTACATTATATTTGTAGGACGACGTTTGCATTGGAATAGCTTAATTTGGAATAATTGTATTTACGTCCAACCAACCTGGGGCCAATTTCATAGAGCTGCTTAAGCACAAAATTTGCTTAAGCACAAAAACGTCTTGCTTAATAAAATCATGTTACCGACTAAAACTCCATGCGATTGTTATGCTAAGTAAACAACAGCTAAATACCAGTCACAAGCAATGTACATCACATGGAGTTTTGGCAGGTAACCTAATTTTACTAAGCAATGTTTTTTTCGTGCTTAAGCAAGTTTTGTGCTTAAGCAGCTCTATGAAATTGGCCCAGCAGGAGTGGTACGATGAGTTCTGAGTGTTATGGGGACTATATCAAATGGCATTGCGCGGCCATCGTATCCCTGTTGTAAATCACGCATTTCAGTGAATGTGCGGGTCTTGTCTTTAGAACAGTGAGTAAATGCAAACAGTTCACACGTTCTTTCACTACTGCTCTCGATATTGAAAATGAAAATTCCACTTGGAACTTCGTTATAATGTGTACCGAGATTATGTTGTGATAAGTGAGGATATCCTGAAGTATGTAGCAACACTACAATTTGGTAAATCTAACGACGTAGCAGATAATTCCATCCTGACATTCATTACTACATTATAATAACCTGAATTTACTTATTTGAATTAAGGCAAGTGGGTTGCCTTAACTGTATTAAGTAGATTCTAAATGATTGAATATAATTAATACAAAAAAACTGAAGCGGTGATAACTTAAAATTATTACAAGTTCAAATGACGTAATCGAATTAAGGCAACTATTTTAATTTTATTGAGAAGATCGAAAGATTTTTTTTAGTGTAGTCGATATATGGCAGCTGCTTTGAAACATGTGTTAAAATATGTGTAACTGCATTCATCCAAAAAAACCCAAAAAACAAAAACAAAAACAAAAAACAGATGCAACATATGTTTGCCTGTATGCGGTGTAGCACTTAAAAGGGGAAAAGCTGAATTTTAAAGTGTTTGTTTACGGGCAAAATAAATCAACAAACATTAACAATTGACGACACATCTCTTAGTCCGCGTTTGTCATACAAATTTGCAAAGCTAAAATATATTTTAATAGCCATGTCTAAGTTTAGATGTAAAGCGTGATACCAACAAACGAAATTAATTCTCAACAATTTTTTTTTTCAACATCGAGAAGTCTTTTTCAATTCCTTCAATGCCCAAACATTATGTTAATCATTTCCAAAGTCAATTTTATTTTCAACTTACTGTGCTCTGGGCAACTTTTTAATTTTTAATGTTTTTGTTGTTTTTAACTATTTTTTTCTTTAATTAATATTAAAGGGAAACCCACCAGGCGCATTGCAACATTTATTTTTAAGTTGAACAAAGCATTGACTGGTGGAGCGGGGTTTGAACCTGCGAGCAATTGCCTTTCCAGTGCTGAATCAACTGAACTATTTCGCCCTTAGTCCCATAAATGTTACGGAAATACTGGACTACCTCCGTATTTAACGCCATACATCCATCGTGTGGTATGTGCACGGAGGGTCCCGTTGCTAGAGGAGCTGAAAATAAATTAAAGATCGAAATTATTTTGTTAGCAGAAAATCAACCCAGCTAGCCTATAGGCCTAGTATGATTGCTAAATAGCACAAAATCGTTAAATTCGGTACCTTCAGAGATCGAGATATCCAAATATCATGGTAATTTGGCAAAGAATTCAGACGTTTTTGAAAAAGCGGGGTCAGGGAACCTGTCATTTCAAAATCTTTGAAGCCTTCTGCAGGTAAGCGCGCCCTCTTGTGTGCACTCTTATCCGCGGCCGCGTATTGCATCTGGGTACTTCACAGAGCGCCAAAGATTTTTTAATGACAGGCAACAGCACCTGTGCGCTTTGCCAAAGTTGACGCTCGCTCAGTAGATGATTAAAGCTCTTGTCTGGTCCCCTGACCTAATTGGCCTTTTGACTATTATTAGGGTGGCCGGGAAACAGTCTGGTGAATATCAGAGACGCCATGCTTTTTTTTTAAAACCGTCTTCATTCTTTGACGAAGGTATCATGATTTTTTTTGATAACAAGACCTCTGAGAGTACCGAATTTAACGATTTTGTGTTATTTAGCAGTCATATTACAGCTGGGTTGATTTTCTGCTTACAAAATAATTTCGAATTTTTATTCAATTTTCGGCCCCCCTAGCAACGGGACCCTCCGTGCACATACCACATGTGTGATGTTAGTCCGACAATTTGGGACTCTCAATACTGTATATGAGAGTCCCAAAACTTAAGGTATTAAAAACATGCAAAACAAGAAAATAGACTGGCACCTAAAAACAACCAGTCCAAGACAGCTTCAGTACTGCATCAATCAACCATGCCAAAAGAATTTAAAAAACATGTGGCATGAAGTGGGAACTAGTCTCAATTTACTACACATTTCTCATCAGTCAAGCTACCAGACTATTGACACTGAATGAAGAGGCCAGTCTTTTCAATTAGTTGGACCATGGATGGACATGTACCAGTCTAGTATTTAGCCCCATTTTAAAATCACTTGACTTTCCTCTCATGTGCAAAATATTGAAAAAAAAGTTTCATTTAAAAAATTCAATTCAATTTTTCAATTGAATTGAATTGAGTCTGCAAACTTGGATGGTGAAATACTGAGGACATTTTCTTTGCCCCAGTGGAATGTTTGGGGCAATTTGCTGGCTAAACTGCGAGTAAAGTGGGCCTGATTTAGTTTTGCACATTTCAGAGCACTCCAGGGCCCTGTCTGGTGGGATGTGTGCTTTAAATACGGAGGTCCAGTATTTCCGTGACATTTCCTAGTGTCTTTCGGATAATAAGGTTTTTGTTTTTGTCCTTTTTTTTTGATGGTTTTATTTTAACCTTATAAGTTTGTTCTGCAACGTATGGTTCGGCGACTGTGTTATAAGAGTATTTTAAAATATGATGTGAATTGTATGACTTATTTCTAAACAGATACACAGTACTTAAATATTTTATAACGTTATGATCAAATTCATTAACATGTCATGTGATGACATGTTAATCAACATGGCATAATCAACTGTAACATGGCATATAATTACATGTATACCCATGCACGACGTCAAAATGTACAACGCGAAAATGAAGATAGCTAGCTCACGTGTATCACACCATATCTGAATACACTTTAAAAAAGCGTTGGATTGTATGGCTCCAACTGGAAAACCGAGCGCTAAAACCTCATTTTTTAACAAAAACAACTGTTCACAATTACAAAACTATGGTCACTGGAATATGTAGAAGTGTATTCTAAGTTGCAGAAGTTATTTTGGAATCACAGAGGTCGCGCAAGAACTATAAATAGAAGGGTCGCAAAGTACACTTAAATTTGCAACTTACCGTTGAGCAGCAGTCAAGCAGTAATTAACGCTGCACTAGTCCCGTCGAACAGACAACCGAAGTCACAGAGCAAACGACGGGTACACTTCAAAATAACGTTACTTGCATGTGTCTCTTGATTCCTAGAATGTCCTACGATATGCAGAACCCAATTGCTTTCACAAGTCACTCCGTGGTTCATATTATTATTACCTTCAAACTTCAATCTTGTCGATGCACGCGTGGCTAAAAATGGCACTCACCACATCACAACGTGTGTGTGTGTGGTGTGTGTATACCGCACAACAATCGTGACAGTTATGTGAACTTTTGACAGCTGGCTCGCGCGCGCTCTGATTAGCATAACAATAACAGGTAAGTACGCGGGCCAAGAGAAAAAATGCTCTTGTTCGTGTAGCTGCGACTCAATATTGGGTGGAAAACTCTGTTGACTTAAACACGAATCATGGTTGTTTAAGTCCCGCATGGGTTTTCATTTTTATTATTCACTTCCAAATGTTCAACGGGACCTACTTTAAAAATGAATTGTTTTGATGCATGCGTTGTCGTTTACGCCCTCAGCGGTTCAACTGCGGAACAAAGTCGTCGATATAGGTCCATTTTAAAAAAAAACATTTAGGCCTATCAGCGGTTCAACTGCGGAACAAAGTCGTTGATATAGGTCCATTAAAAAACACACATTTAGGCCTATTTGGGTATTATTAAACAAGAAAAAGGTAATCTAAACTCCAGACTGGGGCCCGCTTCTCCTATCAGTCAAACATATAACGAAGGGACTGGAACCGGACCCAATTTAGTCAGCATCTTTTTTTTCCCCGGCAAACTTTCGATTTCAAAGTTTCCTTACTTTATAGATTAGGCCTATATACGTACTTAGCCTGTGGAGCCATCTGGAGTGCCTAAACCCTTTTGTACATTTTACTTGAACTTACCCATCTCAAATAGGGTCCTCTTTTTTTCTGTTTAAAAAGCACTTCGTCCTAGTAAGCGCTCATTTGAGCGTCAACACACGTTTTGCACGAAATCATTTTTGGTTGGAAAGCGCATTTAAAGGTAGAATATTTACATCCATACCATACTTTAAAAGTGGCCGTTTTTGTGTTATTTTTTGCGATAACGAATTTCGGAAGTTATTATAAAAAAATCCAGCTGTTTGGGTACTAATTGTAATTCCAGACTCGCTTTGATCGTACCCCCTGCCCTGCAAACAGGGCGCTGGGAAGGGCAGATGAGCTTCACAGAATATCGTAAAGGAAGTGGGGATGGCATTCTGGGTCATTTATCATGACCTATGTATAAAGCATCTGGGTGCAGCTTTTTACGGCCGCGGTTATAGCCAATGCGCGCAGATACTCTGCGTACGCGTCAGCGACTTTCATGCAATTGTGACGTCTACAGGACACTGTGGACCTTCACAATTTTCATGAATGATGAAAGCATACTCTCTGTATTCTGCAACTGGCGAAAAAAGTGTCATCATTTTGTACGGATATTAGAACCAAAAGTACTACTACATGTACTGTATGCATCACCTTGAATTCGTGTAAACCCTACATGTGTGTGGCAGTTCGTACACAAAAAAGAGACCCTATTGTTGACAACCATTCGTCCATGAAAACAATCCAACAATAAGAAGCATTTGCTACCTGTTGTCTAGTAAATGCTGAACAGTGAAGGACAACTTTTATTCATACGGAATCAAGCGTTTGCTTTTACTTAATGCTTATACCCCAAAGTAAATGCTTTTACTTTTTGCTTAATTTTCCTAGCATTTGCTAGTTTTTATACATACGATCCATTGTCTAGGCCTGCAATTGGATAGTGATTGATGTTTTTCCATTGTCAACCGCCACTAGTGGTTTTGTTCAATGTGAAACGCTTACGCCTAATATAGGCACGGACATGCAAAAATTCACCTTTACACAAGATATAGACTTCAAATTTTAAAACTGCCAGTTTTGTATTAATATAATTTTTGTCAAACAAAGACAATCAACATTCTTAAGAAATACCCTTCCAATAAAAAGTTACAAAAATTAAGGTAAAAAGTTCCAGTACAATACCTCTCACACTGCTACACGGCATGAACAAAACTGATATCATCGATTGAGTAAACAGAACATTTTCGCAAACTTATTAAAAGAAGAATGTATGTATAAAACAATGCCCGTATTGTTTTGCTGACTGTTTTATTGTTGATCTTACACGGTCAAATAGTTCTATTGTTATTCCAACAAGCCAGCCACGTATCCAGTTACTATTGATTTTGTACTGATTGATTTGAGATAGGAGAGTTTAAACTATGAAACTTTCATGCATCTAGTCCAATTGGAATATTTTTGGACATGTCATATTCTCCCGTCTTGCTACTTCCTCAACGGCAGTTATTCGTCTCAAATCCAGGTCATACCATCCCAGATTATAGTATTTCTTGACGTTCTGGTAATGCGCTTCGATGTATCGGATACACCTTTGGCGCCTTTTGCCCGAGCACCAGGTCCCGCGAATAAGATGTCCCTTTTGATCGTCAAACTCAAAAAGCTGAAAGTTGGTGACATTCTGAAATTGTAAGCAGCTTGTAGGAAGGGTACCAACATAGCGCTTGGCCACGCAATATCCCTGCAGTAATGGGTCGGGGGGCTTATTGTAGTAACGCTTATGAATGGCGACATGTACATCTGGTTTAGTCTCACTCCTCTGAATGTTTACACCTGGAGGTAGTTTTGCATTGTAGCCCTTCAAAGTCTGCTTGAAATCCAAGTGCCAGTCGTAACGGTCCTGCTCGAAGAAGTAGGCGTAATTCAGTATAATGTCGACGGGGCTTACATGGCGCAGCTGGCGAAAGGCGTCGTCAAAGTGGGTGACCTGCAATAAAACATTTAGCTCAATCTGTATAATGTTTACTAGCCTATTACATTTTTATTTAAACCTGCTAAATTGTAAAGCATTAGATTTGTATGAACTTTTTGAATGACGATCGAGGCATCATCACACAAAAAGAAGATATAAATATATATATATATATATATGCACTAAATTCAGAATATGAGTTAAACAAACTTTGGCATATCTCTCTTCTGGACAGACTGTTTCGTACCATAAGGCACTCATCAGCAGCCTTATGGTACGAAACAGTCTTTCCAGAAGAGAGATATGCCAAAGTTTGTTTAACTCATATTCTGAATTTATTGCATGTTTATAGCTCTACAGAGATGTATCGAGCACTGTGAATTGTGATAGAAGACGATTTTATTTGATATATATATATATGCCTATATATGTTTATATAAATAGACCTGCTGTTATCATTCATTACTCGCCAAGCAGCGAAATCTGGGCAATGAAAATTGTTGCCAATGGTTCCAAACTACATGTATTCCTCAATTTTAAGGGGACAACATTGTAAGGTTTGTGGACTGATTTGTCAGAATCAAGATTGTTCCTGATAAATACCCTAGCATATAGACTCCAACTGGGCTGCAATATGCGCCGCAGCACCTAGCAAAAAGGGTTTCATATGTTCATATACTTCATTTTACCCGTCTTTGGTTTCATTCTCCCCTAGCGCTTTGTATCATTTGGAAAATGCGCTATATAAATACGGATATTATTATTATTAAACAGAATGTTTAGAACCGGTCCAGCACACATTTATTCCCTTAATATTTGGCTTACGTTCATGTGCTTCATTATGTGGTTCCTGCAGTTGGTGATAGTGTCCCTCCAGTAGTAGGATGGAAAATACGCCTTGAAGTCAGAGGCCATAACCTTTCCGAGTGCCTGCAGTGTTGACTCCTGAAATTCTTCTCTGTGCCGCATTCGCCGTGTATCAGTGTAAGTTAACACTCGCAATCGACGCCCGTTGAAGATGTTTTCAGGGGTCACCGGTGTCGTGAACACCGCGTCCGTGTCAGTCAAACCAATGACCGAAGCATTGATGAAGAGATCCATGAAGAAACTGCTCCACAATTGACGTTGGTAGCCTTGGGGTTTCCAGCCCGAGGCAGTATCGGGGAGTGGCTCGTACACGAAATCAAACTTGAGGCCTACATCTTTCTCCTGTTGTTTCAGTTGACGTGCAAATCGATGATCTGTTTCTGATTCCTTGTCAAGAATCAGGCTGATTGGGCCCAGCTTGGGAGACCAGAATACGGTAGACGAACGGATGAATATGCAGTACAGACGCTGAACCAGTTTCGGTACGGCTGCCATGCGGATTGTTAGCGCCAGGGAAAAGCCGTGTGTTGCATCAAGGTCGGTTTCGGCTCCCACATCGGTGGTATTCGAAGAACTCAACAAACCCACTCGTTTGAAGGGTGACGGAATTTTGGTGGGTGACGGAATTCTGTGCCGATGCGCATAATTTTGAAAGTATCCAGGAAGCCAGGCCATGTTAACCAATAACGAAATGGTGAAACAGCAACACAATAATTTGAACCGACGCGAGTATTGTGCCATCGTTGAATCTGCAAAGTTCGTTCCATCACCTTTGAGTTGTATGGTCAGTACTTGTTGATTGCGAAGCACAACACAACGATAATGCCAATTCTACAGGTACGTTCCAGGCGGTGATTCTGATCTGACCTTTACAGAAGAGGACTGCATCGGCATACAACATTCTGCCTTTTTTCCCATGTACTCAGACACCTGTGCTCATGCATGTCGATATATTTTAATATGAATGAACATTGCCCTTGGCCTCTCTTTTGTTGGCCATTGTGTTCCCGGAATTATTTAGGGATATCTGGCACTAGTTCCGAGTGTGTGTAGGTTGAAGGAACTTTGGGGGCTACCCCTCTCTAAAATCGTGCACGGTATATGAATTAAGAATCCAAACAACGGTGAAAAACTGCATGATAGAACTAAGCGAATACAGGTTGTTTTCTAGATTTGTTCTTTCAACACATGACTAATATTCAAGTTTATACTGAGAACATTAGCTTGAATAACGTCTGTAAAAATTAGAAAGCTTTAAATTTACTTTAACTGAAAGGCATATTTCTATCATCACAATTTTGCACACCCCTTTTTTTGCGATGGAAGAGGCACACAGACCACCGTAGTACGCACTTGGCTCTCGCAATACCCCCATCTGTGCCCCCTACATTGTATTGTAGCAAAGGTATGGCATTTAGTGAGGACGCCCTCTTAAAGCTATAGTCCATCATTTGTAATTTGTGCATTTTGTTCGTTTGAAGCAACAAAAGGGTTCAAAATCTAATGAAGGATACTGAACAACTAACCTGATGAAGTTTCAGCTAAGCTTCAGCTGTACATTCCGAGAAAAACAGCATTCTAAGATCTCAATTTCAAATCAAAAGTTACTGAATCATGTTTTGAATTGTTTTGAATAGCAGCTATACGCGACGTAGCGCACTGATCCGACGAATTATAACAACCGCGCGCGCGTGTGCGTCGTTCCAATACTTGTGCGCGTTGCGCTGAATAACAAAACGAACTACTAATTTAAATTTTCCTACGGTGCTTCTTAAGAATCACCGTTGGAAATGCCTTCTTTCGTTGATTACTTCAAAATGACAGCTTCCCAGAAGGAATAATTTCACAGGGAGTTTAGTTCCCTTACTATCTTTCAACCAAGTTTGTTTTTCAACAATAATTACGCCAGTTACTTTTCGGATGGCTGCAAATGATGGACTATAGCTTTAAGTTGATCCAGTTACTAACGCTGTCTGTGTGGCTATCGGACGTCTTCAACTGTTGAAGACTCGGGGATGTTGCACGTCTCCCGTCTTCATCCAAAGGTTCAGTCCTAGTCCTTAAGCTTAAGTCGCAAGCTATTTCTCATCACGCTCTGTGCTTAGTGTTTAAACAGTTTTATGTACCTTAAATATATACATGTAGTTTTAATCTGTGTTTGTTTAAACAGGTGTTATAATAGTGATAAATATGTTTTGACTATGATGGTACTGACAGCTAGGCTTTCGTCATTTGCGTCAACATGCCACAGACATCCACAAATCTGAAGATGTAGATTCATACGTGGAAAGCTGGGTACAGTTAGGTGTTTCTTTACAGTGTAGTCGCTATTCTAATTCGGGTCGTATTAGTAGCTCAGTTCAGTTCGCCGTGTCCGTCCAGTCGTTTGACCAGTTCGCCTCTTCAGTCAGCAAAACCACACGGGCATGCGATGTGCACGTAGGCCGACATCGCATTCATATCGATTGAAAAAAATACCTTCATTCTCATCCTGTATCGTGTGAGGTTGATCCATTGATGGCATTCTATGAATGTAAACCTGCATGGTAGTCCGGTAAATTTAGAACAAAGCAATAGAACATATTGCAATAAAATTTATTTTAATGCTATCACGCCAAGGTAATATCACTATTGAAGAGGAAAAGTGTGTTATTTACTTTTTCGCGACTAACTTTTCATCATACGTAAGCAGCCGTATGGAGAGCGTCATGTTTTCTTTTCGCCCGTTACTAATCACCTTAGATGTTCAAAACCCGTTAACCTTAGACGTTCCATCAACTTAATAAAATCACTGAAGAGTTTCATCTGAGTGGAAATTTCATTGGCGAAAATGTTCTTTCACACAATAGGAAAGCTTTGCTTGCTGGTTCTACAATCTTCCTCAGAACGATGCCGGAAGTGTTGATGAATTTCTTGTCGTAGATGGGGCTATTATAGTAAGACGCTCATCAACAAGCACTCCATCAACTGGGAGAAAGCACCATCTTATCTCGTGACTCCACTAAATTTACCAGATGGATGAGGCAGGCAATTCATATACGCACCGATCAAGACAGAACTATTAATCGAAGCTCGGGTCAATACACTCTCTCTTCAACATACGATCCCATTCGCTCGTCCCCCCCCCCCCCCGCTCTGATACGCTGATGAGCTTCACAGAATCTTGTGAAGGAAGTGGCCTATGACCTGTGTATAAAGCATCTGGCTGCAGCTGTTCAAGACCGCAGTTAGACAATGTGCGCAAATGCTATCCGAAAACTTCCTATACAAATGCACACGTTCCATACCGGATGTGATTTCTGTTTCATTGCGGACCATGTGGACACAATTTTGAGCGTCGCATAATGCAATCTGACAGTTCGTGATTCGAAACGGAGCCTGAGCAAGTGACGGGAATTGCAAATTTCCAACACAGATAAATTGTACAGAATTTTCTACATTCTGACGATTTTCAACGAAAAAATCTCTAAACTGGAATAAAAGAGTAATGAATCAGTCTTAACGGCCATTTCAAACCTTGCAGAGTCATGATCGTGATAACGCGTAGGTCACAGGTCACGCAAAATCTAAGCAATCAGAGCGTGAATTCATCAGTGTTTAGCGTCATGTTTGCCGGGCGGGGATACGAGCGAAACGATCACATTCTCTCAGACCGTCGTACTATAATAGCGCCATTTACGAGGACAAATTCATTGACACTTCCGGCATCGGTCTGAGGAAGCTTGCCGAACCATCAAGGGAAAGCGTACCTACGACAGCTAAATATCACTTATTGTTTAAAAAGAACATTTTCGCACACGTGATAAAAGAAGAACGTATGTATAAAACAATGTACAAAGTAAATAATAATGAGAGCGGTAAAGTAGAAACAAACAAAGTAAACAAAATCAATTTCCTTGCAAATAGTTACTACACAATGATTTGAAAACAGTTAAAGACTTTGCTTGAAAAATTATGGTGGCAACTCGTTCCAGGGTTTGCAGCCTTGACAGCGAATGCTGTGTTAGAGAGCTTCTGTTGTCTTTACTTCAGCACATTTTAATCGTCCAATCGATATGAATACCATGTTGGCTTACGTGCAGATCGCATGCTTGTGTTGATGTTTTATTGTTTATCTTACGTGGTCAATACTTCTGTTGTTATTCCAACAAGCCAGCCAGGTGTCCAGTTACTATTGATTTTGTTCTGGTTGATTTGAGATAATAATAATATAATTACACATTTATACCGCGCAACATATCCAGAAACAGGACACCCAAGGCGCACATCAGGAAAAAAGAAATTGGAGGAATAAAGGTTCGAATCAATGAATGAAGTATTAATCAAATCACGAGAAGGATTTGGTGTATAAGAAAGTCTTTAAATTTGACTTAAAACACTGTAGGGATGAAGATAGGAGAGTTTGAACTATGAAACCATCATGCATCTAGTCCAATTGGAATATTTTTGGACATGTCATATTCTCCCGTCTTGCTACTTCCTCAACGGCAGTTATTCGTTTCAAATCCAGGTCATACCATCCCAGATTGTAGTATTTCTTGACGTTCTGGTAATGCGCTTCGATGTATCGGATACACCTTTGGCGCCCTTTGCCCGAGCACCAGGTCCCGGGAATAAGATGTCCATCGTTATTGTCAAACTCAAAAAGCTGAAAGTTGGTGACATTCTGAAATTGTAAGCAGCTTGTAGGAAGGGTACCAACATAGCGCTTGGCCACGCAATATCCCTGCAGTAATGGGTCGGGGGGCTTATTGTAGTAACGCTTATGAATGGTGACATGTACATCTGGTTTAGTCTCACTCCTCTTAATGTTTACACCTGGAGGTAGTTTTGCATTGTAGCCCTTCAAAGTCTGCTTGAAATCCAAGTGCCAGTCGTAACGATCATGTTCGAAGTGGTAGGCGTAATTCATGATGACGTTGACGGGGCTTATGGAGGAAAGTTTGCGAAAGGCGCTCTCAAAGTTGGAGACCTGGAAAAAGACATTTTGCTAAATTTATTTTAATTATACAGGGTGAGTAAAAGAGAATCATTCAAATCACTAACCTGATACTGAAGTTTAAAAACAAACCGGTACCACGTACTGTTTAAAAAAAATAATGACGTTTTCTTGCAGAAGCATGTCAAAATGGTTAAGTACAATGTTCTGAAGCAAAATAGTGAACAAAATCGAAATTCAAAAAAAAAAAATGGTAATTTTTTACTTATGTGGCTCTTCGTGAAAACGGTGACGAATTTTTCAGTTTGATTATTTAGCTTACGTTCATGTGCTTTAATATGTGATTCCTGCAGTTGGTGATAGTGTCCCTCCAGACGTAGGCAGGGAAGTAAGCCATGAAGTTAGAAACCATACCCTTGCCGATTAGCTCTAGTGTGGACCTGTTCCAGCCTATGCGATGCATCGTTCTCATGCCAGTGAAAGCTAACACTCGCAATCGACGCCCGTTGAAGATGTTTTCAGGGGTCACCGGTGTCGTGAACACCCCGTCCGTGTCAGTCACACCGATAACCGAAGCATTGATGAAGAGATCCATGAAGAAACTGCTCCACAATTGACGTTGGTAGCCTTGGGGTTTCCAGCCCGAGGCAGTATCGGGGAGTGGCTCGTACACGAAATCAAACTTGAGGCCCAAAACTTTCTCCTGTTGTTTCAGCTGACGTGCAAACCGATGATCTGTTTCTGATTCCTTGTCAAGAATCAGACTGATTGGGCCCAGCTTGGGAGACCAGAATACGGTAGACGAGCGGATGAATATGCAGTACAGACGCTGAACCAGTTTCGGTACGGCTGCCATGCGGATTGTTAGTGCCACGGAAAAGCCGTGTGTTGCATCAAGGTCGGTTTCAGCTCCTACATCGGTGGTAGTCGAAGAACTCGACAAACCCACTCGTTTGATAGGCGACGGAATTTCGATGGGTGACGGAATAGTCTGCCGAGGCGCATAATTCTGAAAGTATCCAGGAAGCCAAGCCATGTTAACCAATAATGAAATGGTGAAACAGCAAAACAATAATTTGAACCGAAGCTGGTATTGTGCCATCGTTGAATCTGCACAGTTCGTTCAATCGCCTTTGAGTTGTATGATCGGTACTTAGATTGCGAAGCACAATACAACAATAATGTCAAATGTCTACACGTACGTTCAATATGACTGAACACTGACCCTGACCTGCTTTTGTTGGCCATTGTGTTCCCGGAAAACTTCAGAACCGTGCAGCCAGACTCTTTCTCTGTGTAAGCCGCTATACTGAGGCCTCACGGCTCCTGCATCAATTACATTGGCTGCCGATTGGATCACGATCAAATGGCTCCATTTATATTATTGTATATAATTCTTTTGGAATATCTTGCAACAATGCTCCAGAGTGTGTATAGGGTGTAAGGACATCGGGGGCTACCCCTCTATCTGAAATCGTGCACGGTATATGAATTAAGAATCCAAGCAACGGTTAAAATTACTAAGCCATTGTTTTCGGGGGAGGGGGGGGGGGCCGGGGAATATAAGGTACGTTAAGGCAGTGAGGCCTGTTTGATTTCTGTTATGTACGACAAGTTATGCACGACGGCCGATTATGTCCGACCCATTGTGTCTGACTTCTGATTACGTCCGACCCATTATGTCCGACGGCCGATTATGTCCGACGCATTATGTCCGACGGCCGATTATGTCCGACGCATTATGTCCGACGGCCGATAATGTCCGACCCATAGTGTCCGACAGCCGATAAATGTTTAATCAATGTTGAAATATATAATAACTGTGGTTTTATGTATGAACCACATTCTTTCAGTTAATTTTTATCATTTTCAGTATTGAAAAGTACTGCACAAGACTTGCCTTACAGTGCCCAAACATTTTTGTGGAGACGGTTACAAATTAAACAATGGATGTTTGATAAATTTACCTCTTAATATTGTTTACAACGATTAAAATGCTGACTTTCTTCCCGAGAATTCCCGTTACGCCTACTACGTATACCCCTCCCCCCCTTAGATGTTCCATCAACCTAATAAAATCACTGAACAGTTTCATCTGAGTGGAAATTTCACTTGCCAAAATGTTCTTTTCACACAATCGGAAAGCTTCGCTTGCTAGTTCTACAATGAGAACGATGCCGGAAGAGTCGATGTACCTCTTGTCGTAGATGGCGCTATATTATTAGTTCGACGGTAATCAACAATCACTCCATCAACTGGGAGAAAGCACCATCTGATCTCGTGACTCCACTAAATTTACCAGATGGATAAGGGAGGCAATTCATATACGCACCGATCAAGACAGAACTATTCATCGAAGCTCGGGTCAATACACTCTCTCTTCAACATACGATCCCATTCGCTCGTCACCCCCCCCCCCCCCGCCCTGCAAACAGGACGCAGGGATACGCTGATGAGCTTCACAGAATCTTGTGAAGGAAGTGGCCTATGACCTGTGTATAAAGCATCCGGCTGCAGCTGTTCAAGACCGCAGTTAGACAATGTGCGCAAATGCTATCCGAAAACTTCCTATACAAATGCACACGTTCCATACTGGATGTGATTTATCAGTGTTTCATTGTGGACCATGTGGACACAATTTTGAGAGTCGCATAATGCAATCTGACAGTTCGTGCTTAGAAACGGAGCCTGAGCAAGTGACGGGAATTGTAAATTTACAACACAGAAAAGTTGTACAGAATTTCTTACATTCTGACGATTTTCAACGAAAAAAACCTCTGAACTGGAATAAAAGAGTAATGAATCAGTCTTAACGGCCATTTCAAACCTTGCAGAGTCATGGCCGTGATGACGCGTAGGTCACAGGTCACGCAAAATCTAAGCAATCAGAGCGTGAATTCATCAGTGTTTAGCGTCAAGCGCCATTTACGAGGACAAATTCATTGACACTTCCGGCATCGGTCTGAGGAAGCTTGCCGAACCATCAAGGGAAAGCGTACCTATGACAGCTAAATATCACTTATTGTTTAAAAAGAACATTTTCGCACACGTGATGAAAGAAGAATCTATATATATAAGAGAGTTTAACTCGGCCTCCGAGACGATGTTTGCTTATGAAAGGATCCGAGACCGCGGGCTCCCGCGGCGCCAAAATCGCTCCACGTCCGTGGAAAAATGCGGAAGGTGTCTTCCGCCGGGTCGGACACTTCGGGTCGTCCTGATTTTCCCGTACGGACCGGCGATCCGTTTCGTCGATTTTTCGTGACTGCGTTTTGCGCAGGAATTTGCCGTCGTGTGCGCTTTCACGTTGACTGCCTGTCCGCCCCCTGTGCTGGCTTTTCTGCGTGTCTAGACTGTGCGAGGTCAGCGGCTTCGACGTAAGGGTTCCGTATACGTGTTCTACTTGGCTGTTCTGCAAAAAAGTTCACCAAACGGTTTATGGGGTGACCTTGGTAAAATATTTTTTGTCCATGGTGCGTGGCCACCAAGTGTCCCTATTCTTTCATATGCTTTGCTTGCCGCCCCTGCGCTGAGTGCAACGAATACTCAGATTGACTACACATTAGTATGCCTTGCGCGGTCTGACCAATCGAAAGTCTACACTGTGTACTTCCGGGGTCTGCGTAAAACCGTCGATGGCAACGCGTACTGCAGCCTGCTCGACACCCTGGAAACGAGGTTGGGTCTACGGTGCTCGCTATGTTAAGTACAAGCGTGTGACGTGCGATAGAGTGCTGCTGCTTCCACCATGCATGGCTGAGTGTTGTGAGTTCGCTGCCCGCCACGTACATGTACATGTACATGTACATGTACATGTATAATTCAGTGTCGCGTTATAAATTCGGGGGCATGTTTTGGGATCAACAAAGGATCGATGCATTGCTTCAAATATCGCAATCTTTGAACTACGTTGGGTTGAAATAACGAAGGGTGCATAAATAATAATATCCATTGGCGGTTGTTGGCTGTTTGGCCTTGCTTTATTAATTAGTGTTGAACCAACTTGAGTTTAATCGACTTTTTCCTCGCAGGTCTTGCAAATTGTATATAAGAAGATCAAGTTTACGTCCAATAGTGACCTTCCTCCATGATTCAGACATTGTAATTGTATGGAAAACACTCAACATTTTCATTGCAAATGACACCTTCACGTTCTCATTGTTATGATTTAATGTCAAAACTGTATAATCAGCCTTCGCCTGTGTACTTTGGTAAGCCTTTCAAGTACGTTTTCTCACAAATGCCACTGCCTCACAAAATACCAATTTAACAGACCAACGGGAACATTTACAGACTGTTGCCATGGTACATAATTATCATGGGCGTCAATCGGCGGGGGACAAAGACCCCCCCCCCCCACATTTTAAAGCGGAGGACATTGTTTGGTCCCCCCACTTTTTCTTCCCCGAATAAAAATTGTAGCCTACTATAATGATTCTATTGCTAAGAATACATGTAGCTGATTCAATTACTCCAAACTCAAAACTTTACAAGATGATCTTTTGCTCAAATTGGTTTTAGTGGTCAGAAATTGCCTCAGATCACACCACAGAAATTGCTTTTCTATAACTGCATGTCTCCCCAACTATATCCCCCATTTACATTTAGCTCCCCACATTTTTATCCCCAACACTACGCCCTACCCGATCTATGATCGGGTAAATCAGCTTGTGTATGTATAAAACAATGTACAATGTAAATAATAATGAGAGCGGTAAAGTACTGAGAAACAAACAAAGTAAACAAAATTAATTTCCTTGAAAATAGTTACTACACAATGATTTGAAAACAGTTAAAGACATTGCTTGAAATATTATGGTGGCAACTCGTTCCAGGGTTTACAGCCTTGACAGCGAATGCTGTGTTAGAGAGCTTCTGTTGTCTTTACTTCAGCACATTTTAATCGCCCAATCGATATGAATACCATGTTGGCTTACCTGCAGATCGCATGCTTGTGTTAATGTTTTATTGTTTATCTTACGTGGTCAATACTTCTGTTGTCATTCCAACAAGTCAGCCAGGTGTCCAGTTACTATTGATTTTGTTCTGGTTGATTTGAGATATTAATAATATAATTACACATTTATACCGCGCAACATATCTGTCTAGAAACAGGACACCCAATGCGCACATCAGGAAAAAAGAAATTGGAGGAAAAAAGGTTGGAATCAATGAATGAAGTATTAATCAAATCACGAGAAGGTTTTAGTGTATAAGAAAGTCTTCAAATTTGACTTAAAACACTGCAGGGCTGAAGATAGGAGAGTTTGAACTATGAAACCATCATGCATCTAGTCCAGTTGGAATATTTTTTGGACATGTCATATTCTCCAATCTTGCTACTTCCTCAACGGCAGTTATTCGTCTCAAATCCAGGTCATACCATCCCAGATTGTAGTATTTCTTGACGTTCTGGTAATGCGCTTCGATGTGTCGGATACACCTTTGGCGCCTTTTGGGCGAGCACCAGGTCCCGGGAATAAGATGTCCATCGTTATTGTCAAACTCAAAAAGCTGAAAGTTGGTGACATTTTGAAATTGTAAGCAGCTTGTAGGAAGGGTACCAACATAGCGCTTGGCCACGCAATATCCCTGCAGTAATGGGTCGGGGGGCTTATTGTAGTAACGCTTATGAATGGCGACATGTACATCTGGTTTAGTCTCATTCTTCTTAATGTCTACACCTAGAGGTAGTTTCGCATTGTAGTCCTTCAAAGTCTGCTTGAAATCCAAGTGCCAGTCGTACCGGTCCTGCTCGAAGAAGTAGGCGTAATTCAGGATAATGTCAACGGGGCTTACATGGCGCAGCCGGCGAAAGGCGTCGTCAAAGTGGGTGACCTGCCAAAACAATTGTACAAATCTTCACTAGTTAGAAACCAAGAAAAGAATATACGTTTTGGTGGACTTAATAGAATGCAGCGTGTGGTAAGTGCCACTTTTTTGTATATATAAATAGACCTGCAGTTATTATTCATGATTCGCCAGGCAGCGAAATCTGGGCAATGAGAAATGTTGCCTACAGTTCCAAACCGTTCCTCAATTTTACGGGGACAACATTGTAATGTTTGTGGACTGATTTAAGTCAGAATCAAGATTGTTCCTGATAAATACCCTAGCATATAGACTCCAACTGGGCTGCAATATGCGCCGCAGCACCTAGCAA